TGCTTTATGTCATTGCTGGTGCCGAAGCTGGACGGCCGCCCACCGCCCAGCCACGCCCACATTTTTGCCAAGGGGAAAATTTGCATTTTGTGGAGCGAGCAAAACCCAAGAAAGAAAGTGAGAAGAACGTGCAAAAAAAAAAATATCATAGCAAGGTGTTGCGGAAAAACGAGAATCGTTATACTCTTGGATTTATGGATAATATCTTAGCATATGTACATTTTGCAAATGCAAACTCGAAAGTAAAAAATAAAAGCAATGTTTTACAGTTGGGGTATTTTATTTCATTAAATATGTTGGTAGTAAATATTATATTTAAAGGACCACCTTAATCTCGTGATGCAAACTATCGTATAAAATTATGATTCGCTTGGCAGCAGGGTATAGAAAAAGTACACACATTCAGTGGTGGCGGGTGAGAAATTGTTTGCATTTACTTTGGCTTGGTCTCGGTTTTAGTCCGGGTTTTTAGTCCTGGCAAATAGTAAATGGAGGCGTCTGCCTGTTGACTGCCACCTGGATTCTGGGATGCCTGCGATGCTGGGATGGCGGTGCTGCCTCTCAAACCGCGTTGCTCGTTAATTTTGCAGCATTTCCGCTAGCAATTTTCAGGCAACTCCCGCTGCTACTTCGTCCTGTGTCCTTTTAGTCCTTGTTGTTCTTGTTGCTGCTGCTGCCTGCCTGCAACCGGAAATGCAGGAAACGGATATTACACGCTCCAGAAAACTCACAGTGGAGGGGGACGGGTGGCAACTGGAATAATATGAAAGAGATATGACTTTTGATGACAACGTAGATGCCGCTGCCTTTGCAATTTGATGCATTTTCCGTGTTTAGACAGCTGCCCCCAAAAGTTGTCCTTAGCGCCTGGCACTCACCTTTTCTTTTTCTCTGCCGACTTTCCCGCCCCGACTTTTCTGCTTTCCTGCTTTTCCCTGCAATTGCAACTGGAAACCCAATTGGAGCGTGCAAAAACGAGAGCCATGCAACGCGAACGCGGCGCTTTAATTGCTTAGCCCATGGAATTGTTGTCTCGCTTTTCCATTTTTCTGTTTTTTCCCTTTTTGGTGGCTGACTGGGATTTTCCTTTCTGGCTGCTCAATTGTTGGGAAAATGAAATTATTGCAAGCCAGCAGAAATGGCAAAACCAGGTCACAGCTGAAAAAGAGGATTTTCGGCTAAGATGAATTGACTTTCCCCCACTAAAATAGAAAATAAATTCGCCATTTGGTTTTTTTTTTGTAAGATTTCATTGTTTTTGTTCGGTTTTATTTTGTATTTTTTACTCTTTCGTTTTTCCTTTGCATTTTTGTTTTTCTTTATTGAACATAATAATTTTCTGTTTCGGTTTTTGTTGTTACTTTTAATGCTTGCTCACTTTCGCTTGTTAAATTTGTAGCTTAAATTTAATTTGAAATTTTTCTTCAACGCTTTTTCAACGCGCGACCTTTAATTACTTCCATGCAATTTAATCCATTTTATGTGTAATTATTAGTTGTGTATGGTTTGTTTATTTTTTATAGGGGGAATGCGCTGTGTGTGTGTCCGTGTGTGTAAACTTATTTTGTTAGAATTGTAGCGTATTTTAAATTTAATTTTAATATGCATAAATTGTTTGCCCTTCGCCCCTCGCTAGCTAACCTTTTGACCCCTCTTTTCTGCCGCTTCATCGCTTTTTGCATTTCGCATTTCGCTTTATCTTTCCCCGCCTTTGTTTATTATTTAATGTGTTAAATTTTCGCTTGCTTTTATCAATTTCAATGCACGCATTTTGCAAAAAAAAATATTCTTTTATTTTTATATATCTATATATATAAATGGTTTTGTTTAGCAATATTTATTAATGAACATTTATTCGTAGCTTTATCTCTTTATGTATTTTGCATTTTGTATTTTGTAATTTGTTATTAGTAATTTGTATTTCGTATTTTGCTGTCTTTTGCTTTTGCTGCTGCTGCTGAATAGATTAAATTGTTGTTTTTTGGCTCTCATTTGTTTGTTAGTCTGCTATTTAACAATGTTGACAAAATATATATACACATGTATATCTATATATATTTCGATTTCGATTGTGTGTGAGTGTATGTGTGTGTGTATCTTTAACTTTGCCTGCGATTTTCGGGTTTATTCACTAATTTTAAAATGACTTCTTCCGCCTGTGTAAATAATTATATGAAATAATTCTTGCCCGTGCATGAGTAAATTCTTAAATATTTTTTGTTTGCTTTATTTTTTTGTTGTATTTTTCCTTCATTTATAACTTGACTTTTTGTGAAGTTTTCGTTTTGTATAAATTTAAAATTGTCAGCCATTTTTGTTGTTTGTTGTCTTTGTTGTTAATAAAAACGTTATGTAATTTATTTATATTTATATTTATGTTATATTTAATACGTCTACCGTCTCCAACTTTTTTCCTTTTATTTTTCGTTCTCGCTAAGTTCTATAAAAAGTGCGTAATTAAAAATTGTTGGCGTCCGCAGTTAATATTCAAGTATTCGGTATCCTTTCAGTTAATAGCTAAACTTTTTATCCCATATCATATATAGATACACACGGCTGTGCGCACAAAAAAAAATTTGTAGTTACTGCTCAGAGTGCGAGTTTTCCGCCGACTCCACTCGACTCGACTCGACTTTTTCATCGAGTTCAAGTTTTCCGCTTTCGCTTCATTGCGTTTCCTTTAATTTGATTTGATTTGAATTCCTATTTCTTTTCTTCTTTTCCGTTCAAATGCTTAGTTTCCGGCTTTCGTACTGGGCTTTAAAAATACTTTACCCTTAGGACAGTTCTCCATGGATTTATGTACAACATTTAAATTACTAATAGTAGTAAATTTTTTCGTCGCCTTCGCTTCGCCCCGGTATTTAATCAACTCTCAAGGACACAAAATGAAACGATAAGGACTTTAAATGAAATATTTGCCTTTCGCGCGGATTATCAATAAATGTTTATTTAATTTTTGTATTTGCCTGGGTTCTTGTTATTCTTTTTCTTTTTTTTGTATGTCGTTCTAGCTGTTATTTGCATAATGCTTCTTAAATATGTACACACAGAGAGTGGAAAATCGAGTCCGTAATTAAAGCGAATCAAGTTTGTGTTTTAAGTGATGGGGTTTATTAAGCACACCGGAAAGGATAAGAATAAATCGAAAATCAACTGACTTATGTTATTTTCGCTGATCCCAAGATCAAATCGGACAAGACACAACATTAGATTTGCACAACATATACTTCTACGATACCTATGGGTTCCAATTTCATTTGGGGGAGGGTTTCTTTCAGCTGGACTCGATTCAATTTGTATCGCCTTTGCGCTTTTACAACCGAATGTGTTCGTTTCTAGCCATAAACTCTATATATACTTGAAGTATGGTTATAGTAATTGCCTTAGCTCTCGTTCTTATATACAAATCTAATCGGTAAGTGCCAGAGTGGTGCGCCATGGATGGATTGTTTTGTTTTGGTTTGCGAATCGCTTGGAAAAATCAAAGGCAGAGTCTGCGGTCAACAATATATAAAACACCTCATCCTGGACGTACTTTGATTGGTTTTGTTTCGGGGAAGCCAATTCGTTATTTTGCGGGGTCTTTGACGTTGGGGGTAAGTAGGCTAATTTTGGACGCAATCGAAAATTTTCTCACTTTTACCTAACAAATATGGCTAAAAAAAAAAAGTACAAAGAACAAACAATTAAAGAGAATAAAAAAATTAATATATGTATAGACTATATTTTTATATCGATTGTTTTTACTTGCTTTTACTTTCGCTCTCGTTTCGAAATTAGCGGGCGGTGCAGCATGGCGTATGCGTGATATTTGTGGAACGAGAACGAAAAACGAGAAACGAAATCGTCGCCTTTCGCTTGAATAAGTTCTGCATATTCCGCTTCCGTGGGCGGATATATGCATGTGTATTGTATATATATAAAATGCCATTTCATATATGCTCTTCTTTATTTATTTATTATTTTCTGTGGCCCATAGCAGTGTTGATAATTTAGTTGTTTAGATTTTAGTTAGCGTTGTTTTTTGGGAGTTAAGTTGAGTGTTAGTTTAGCTACAAATACATATGCGTGTGTGTACTAAAATATCTCGTATCCGCTCCTCGCTTCACTTCCGTTTCCTGCTCTGTCTCTCTCTTGTTTCCTTTCCCCTCTATTTATCAGCTTTATTGCCTTGGCATTGTCCTTGCTTGGTTACCTTGTTTAAGTGTGTGTGTGTAGAGAGTGTGGAGTGTGTTTTTGTCACAAAGAACTAACGCTATAATTAAAAATTGGCTTTCTCTCTCTACTTTCTCTACCATTTTCTCCGTTTTGGCCGCTTTAGTTTCTTCATTATTTTCTCCCTTCATTTGCGTTGCGCAGCGTTTTTTGTTTGTTTAAATTTTTATGAGAACTTTTGCTACGTTGGTATTATAATGCATGTGAAATTAGCTTTAGGTTTTAATTTATTTTTAGATTTATTAACTGCTTATTGCGTTTTATAAACACTAACGTTTCATTTGTCTTATTTCAACTACTTACTTAAGCCGCCAGCTTTCTCTTTCTCCTTTCCTTTCTCCATTTCTCCACCGTCGCTTTCTCCTTCTCCCTTCGCATCTCAACCTCTTGCATTTGCTTCTGCCCTCCTCCATTTTGCCATAACTTAACATACATTTCGTTAATACTAGTAAAAAAAATGTTCTCATCTTCTGTTCTGTTCCGTTCTCTTTTTTTTTGTTTGTTACCTTTTCTTTTTTTTTTGACTGGCTTTCGTTTGCCAAACACACACTAATGCACAATTAATACTAGACAAAAAAAAAACATAGTTTCGCTTATTAGCCTAGAGTTGTAAAGGTCTATATAGAAAAAAACCGATCTTCACTCCTTGCCGCCGTTTTTTAAGTACTTCGTAGTTGCTTTGCGATCGTTTTCATATTTTATTTCCGGTTTTCGGTTTCAGTTTCCGCTTCCGTTTCCTTGGCCTCTGTTAACTGGCGAGTCGCTGGTGGTTGGAATGTCCAAGTTCCCAAACTTAGTAGCGCTGCTGGTACTCGTGGTGCCAGCGATTGAAGTCGATGTGGAATACTATGATCGAGCCCGTCGAGAGGCCGGCCAGAAGGTATCTGTCAGATAAAGAAGATAGATGGAAGAGCGACAGAGAAACAACGGTTAAAAATGAGGGCAAAATATAATTCTAGGGAAAAAGAAAATACTAGAGGTATAAAACCAAATAAATATCCTGGAATATGTACTGAATATACGTATAAGTCCTTGAAACTGATTTATTAAAATTTATTTAGTTACTTTAAAATACTTTTTAAATTTTCCCATCATTAAATAAAATAGTTAAATTGAAGGTAAAATCACTTAATTAAATTTTAAAGGTATCTATCTATTGTTGAATTTTTCGGAATTATAGGTATATAAGCTAGTTTTCGACTTACTTCTGATCGTGGGTGAGGGCCAAGGATCGGATGCCCGCGTTGCAGGCGGGGAAGGCATAAAGTGGTGCTAGGTTGAAGGTGCGCCACACCTCCACGATGCCGCGATCGCCGGCGGTCATCAGGTATTCACCATCGCGCGACAGCAGCATGCACTGTAATTAAGAAAAAAATAAAAAATTAATATATAATTATGAAATTATTTATTTTGATGTAAAAGAAGTAACCAAAATAAAATATAAAGTAGACCAAAAAAAAAATCAAATAATTAAATAATTCAAATTCTATACTCAATAGTATTAATTTCATATGAAATATTATTAATATTAATATTTTCTAGTTTCATTTCTATACCGAAAGTTTAATTTAATACTTTTAAAAGTATTTATTTAAAACTCATCTTATTAATGCACATTTGACACTCAATAGTGTAGAATTCACGTAACAATAGTTTCGTTTCTATAACTATTTTTTTTGGGTGTATATATAGGTAGTATGTACTGGTGAAGAACCCACCTGCAGATTGTCGTTGTGCGTCTCGTGGCGCAGCTTCTTGCCATTGATGGTGTAGGCGGCCACATTGCCCTTGTCGTAGTTAATGACAATGAAGCCCTCGCGGGACATGGTGATTAGCTCCGGGGAGTGGAACTCCGCCGGCGGATCCAGCGAGCGCAGGAGGTCGCCGAAAGTGGTGTGGATCAGTACGGGTCCATCTGTGGAGAGAGTTTAAGGTTTACCCATAAGCTGCCGTTCTTCCCCGAAATCCCCCAAAGAGATAGAAACTCACTTGAAGATCCGGAGACAACCAGACCCAACTCGGCACTGATCACCACCGAGGTCACCGCCTGCTCGTGACCAGTTAAGGTGGCCCGAGGAGTGGGCACATCGCCCTCGCCCACGATGCTCTGGGTGCGGGCGTTCCAGTGCCACAGGAGCACCGTGCAGTCCGCCGATCCGGAGGCGATGTAGCAGTCCGAGGTGATGTTGCACTCGGAACGGGCCATGCACGTCACCACGCCAAAGTGCCCGAACACAATTTGCACGATTTTCGCTGGAGGTGGAAAAGATGGTAGAAATATAAACGATTTGGGTGTGATAAGGAGGGTGCTTTAAGTAGAGCTATGGATATTTTATATTTTTTACAATTTCCAATACTTAATTATTTTTACAATTTACAAAATCGGACTGGGAAAATTAATTATTACGAAAAAATATTAAATTGCTTTAGTTTTATCTTCAATTAAATTAAACTTGAATAAAGTCCTCAAACTCTCTGATTGATATTATTGTTGAAATTGGTTTTTATTTCCTTTTAAGCTTGTATCAAAACTAATTTTAGCATTGCTGGCATATAATTTATAATTATTATAAAAATTCTTGCAAATATGCAAGTATTAAATTTAATAAATTAATTTTGTATTTTGTTTCTATTAAAATAAAGTTGATTTTGGCATGTGGCATGTTGCTTTTAAAGATGTCACAAGTTTTTAAATAAAATCGAGACAGAATATATATTTCATAATAAGACTTACCTGTTTCGGTGGCAAAGACCCGGAAACTGTTGTCCCAGAATCCGCAGGCGATTAGGAACCGACTGTCCACCGTGGTGACAAAGCAGTTCGATCGGATCTTGAGCATTTGGCTGAAATTATCACCCAAGTGCCGCCGGCTGACTGCATTGCTGTTATTGTTGGTGCCATGGACAGCTATATAGAAAGGGGGGAAAGTTAAATAGAACAAAATAGTTATTCAGAGATAGTATAGTCTAAAATATAGTATATAGTATAGTATACAGTATACATTATAGTATATAGTATATTATATAATATAGTTTACAATATAAAGTATAGTATACAGTGTAGTATATACCACAATATACAGTATAGTATATAGTATAGTATATATATCCCTATAAAAACTCACCCAGAACCGGATCGATGGTCAGCGGCTGGTTGGATCCCGGCGACTGCGGCGACTCGGCGTAGCTGGGACTCTGGACGGAGGCGGTGTAGTTGCAGTTCCACCGGTTCACCGCGAACTGGTGGCCCGCGGTCACGGTGACCACCGAGGGCAGCGACAGCTGCGGATACGTGTTGGCCGAGATGTGGATGACCGGAGAGTTCTGGTAGAACTTGAGCATCTGGCACAGATCCTCGGGCATCGCACTGAACATCATCGGGGACAAATGCATGGCCGAGCTGCGCGGCGGATGCGGTTCCATCAGCAGCTGGCTGGGCGTCTGGCCAAAGTTGCGTATTTGATTCTCGACGGCCTCGCGCATCACGGGATCCAGGACGCCGTCCAGGTCGACGCTGCCCTCGTAGGTCAGATAGTAGAACACATTGGTGGCCCGGATGGCCTCGGGGCCGCGCTGCTTGTAGCCGAAGATCAGGTCGATCCACTGGTGCAGCTGGCAGGACACGAACTCCGACTCGAGGGCCATGCGATTGATGCGCACGAACTCCTCGGGACTCTTGGCCCACGGCGGCAGTTCAATGTCGTCGACCAAAGCGCCATCTTCGCGATGGCCCAGCCGATAGCCCGACGCATTGTAGAACATCTCGGGCAGGAAGTACCACTCGGGTATTAGCTCCTTCACGTCCGACGTATCCCGCTGGCAGTTCTTCCACGAAAGCGACACCGAGCTGAAAAGCCTATCGGGATAATCGAACTTGCCGCCCTGCAGGGCCAGGAACATGGTGGTGAAGGGCTCCACGCGCACCAACCAATTGAGGGTGAAGGCGGCCGTCGAGTAGTGAGTGCCGTAGTGGAAGGGCGGTATGGTATCGCTGTCCCAGCTCTCGTAGCGCTCCTCAAAGTACGCCCTCCTCGAGGGATTCAACGCCCCAATGGGCTTGGATAAATCCCTATAGTTCGAGGGCAGACTGAGATCCAAATCCTTCGACTCGTAGTTGGTCAGCACCCACGGAAAGATGGGATACTGATTCAAATCGTTGTACGTCCGTCCGGCGATCGTGTTGAGGAACATGAGATACTCAAAGTTGCTGATCTCGCGACGCTGCCACTTCTGCGTCATGTTGGAGTTGCGCATCAGCTGACGTGGCGACATCATGGAGGCGCGACGCGTCTGCGGAATCCCATACTTAATGCCCACGCCCACGCGGGGCAGCGCCTTGATCACCTTCTTCACGGTGTGCTGGTCGGGAAAGGCGAACAGGATCGAGGTGCGACTGGCCAGGAAGATCTCCAGGGCAACGTTCTGCAGGAGATAGCGTCGCGAGAAGATGGCCCTCACCTCGGAGAAGTACCACTTGCCGTGCAAATGATCGCAGTACTTGAGCACCTCGCCGTCGATCTTCTGGAACTCCGGGTGCTCCTCGTCCACCTCGAAGAACATCTCTGTGCTGGTGATCGAAACGGTGCCGGGTGCCACCAAACCGGGAGCTATCAGCCGCGCCTTGGTGCTGATGTTCACGGGGCCAGTGAGATCCAAATCCAATTCCCGATCCTCGATCAGCAGCTCGGCATCATCGAGCAGCTCGCCATTGTGCTGATTCGACGAAGGATGCGCTCGCGAGACGGCAATCTGGGTGTGGAACTCGTCGCGTGTCTGCAGGATGGCATCTTCGGGTCCTCCGTTCTCCAGGGCCGCTTTCAGCGTGGCCTGTGGATGCGAGGATCCCCGGGGATTCTGCACCATCCTCTTCCGACGACGTGCATCATCCTCCCAGGCATCCAGCTTCCAGTAGGGACTCTTCTGCACAGCACCCACAATTGCACCGCCACCAGTGGTACTCAAACTACTACTAGAATCACCCCAGGCCCCATGGCGATTGCACATTATGTTCCGCACCTTCTCCAGCAGCCGGCTGGCAATCACATTGTCCCTTCGCCGGGCGGCGGTGATCAGGTGATCGCACATCCGCTCCTCCTCGCGTCGCTCCAAGAGCGTTTGGGCGCACTGCGACTCGAAATCGGCATGTTTGAGCACATCATCCGCTCGCATCCTGTTCAGTATGAACTCCGCCTCGTTGGCCACTCGCACAATGTGATCCTTCATGGCGTGCGAGAGCAGGCGACCCTCGTTGATCAGCTCGATGAAGGCCAGGCCGGCGTGCTTCTGCAGGCTGTTCTGCCACTCCTGCGAGCACAGCAGCATCACCAGCTCAACCACCGAATGGGAGTTCTTGAATGTGGTCAGTCCCTTGCCCTCCATCAGCAGCTCCTGGCCGTGGGAACCGACGAGGGTCTTGGACAGGAACGGGGCAAAGTCCACCATGATCTCGCGCAGCAGGGGACACACTGGGCCCAAGGCAATCTCCAGTTTCTGGGTGAGACTCGCCTCGCGCGAGGGAGTCGTCAGCGGTAGTTGGGCCACCAGAGCGGGCGGCTTCATGGGCAGCTCCTCGGGACGCGGACGCTGGCTGGGCGGCCCCACCTGACCCACCTGTCCTCCCGGATTGGCTACCCCGGCACTGGGATAACCATCGGGCACGCGGACCACCGAGATCTCCGAATCGGGCTTATCACCCCGTTCCGAGTGACCAAGGGATCCATGTTGCTGCTGCTGTTGCTGTTGCTGCTGCTGCTGTTGCTTGTCGCTTATGGCATTGCCACCATTATCCACTAGACCCACAACCATGCCGGCACTGGCCGCCTGGACGGCTGCATCCTCGTTGAGATTCACATCCGTCCAGCTCTCGTCGTTCGAGTGACTCGGCTTGTGGTCGTCGATGAGGATCTCGCTGGAGGACTCCACCTCGGGCACCTCGTTCTCCGTGGAGTTCATGTTCAGGGAGCCCACATCCGAATCGACGCTCTGCGATTTTTGGATTTGTTTTGGGGGGTGTGGGAAAGAGATATGAAAATAAGTAGGCAATCAAAATATGCATGGAGAAGAGCAATCAAATGGGTCCCCAATTTCGAACGTGGGTTTCTCTCTACTACACTCGGCAAAATAGTATGCAAGTAAGGCCGTGAATTTGGGAAATTGATTCATTTGTACTAGTTATTTGCAAAGTGTAGTGCGAATGGTGAAATTAGAAATAAATAATATATTTTCATTTACGAGAAGTGAGAGATATTTTCTAAACTTTGCTGAATTTTTTAAAATATTTAAGGTTAAGGTTACTATTTATATATTAAATACATCAAGTTATATTTATTTGTATTGCAATAGTGTAATAAATTGTAATATAAATAAATTCTATAGAGATTTTCTTAATTTCAAGGCGATTCTACCCTCAGTGTAGGATCTATCTCTCTCTCGCTCTTTCGTGGGCGTGCTGATGTGAGCTGTGTTTGTGGGGGTTTTGATGTATGCCTATCATTTGCACATTAATTATGCACATCGGACTATAAATCAAAATTCCCAAGCAGCACTGCCCCCGTCCGTTCGTTTTGTCAACACATGCATTTGTCATCAACTCGAACCGGGATCACCCCATATCACCCCTCCCTAGCTGTCCACAACCCTGTTACCACCAACTGCCCCTTGTTTCCCTTTCCCTTTGGCTACCCCTGTTTATTCAACAACTGTCACTCATCGGCGTTCATGGCGGCGACAGTTTGTCAAGTGATTTGCATAAAAGTAGTCCAGATTGCCCCAAACCCACAGATTTTGGGAAAGGACAGGACATTAGGCAGGCGAAATGGAACGCAGCGAAATGAAACGATGCGGAATGGTGTGGAATGAAACACGTATGGCATATGACAAATTTTGTTAAGCGTTTGACAAATGTCAGCTGTCAGACACCAACACGAATGTCGTGGCCATAACCGTGTTTGTGTGTCCGTGTCCGCTTGTCCGTATGTTGTCCGCTCAAGGGAGAGATGTGCGTTTTTGGGTTTTCTTTTTGGGGGAATGAGGGTTTAGAACTCCCAAAGGACAGCTGTTGCGTGTGGCATCGGCATGTCATCAACACGAAATCAATCGCCTTTGTTTGCCCTCGATTTCTCGAGTGTTGCGGTGTCCGTATCCCTGGTCGAGCACCCAAAAATTCCAGTTACCCCTTCCCAATCCCCTTTTCTCACCCACTAAAAACCAATGCCTCATTCCGGGGTCTCCAATCTTGTCAACTGTGATATATGCACGCATTCATTAAGGGGGGGTTTTAGGTTGGAAAAGGGAGGGAGCGAAAGAGAGGTAGCATTGCACTTAGCACTCACCGACTCGCACACACACAAACGACAGCTAATCACTAGGCTATCCGTGTGTGTGTGCGTGGGGGCATAAATAATGCGAGTGTAGTAGTTCATTAGGGTGTGTGGGGATGTGGGGTCTTTCGGGGTTTACCCCAAAAAAGCGATAAAAGCCAAGAAGTGCTCCATGTGAGAGTGGGTTCGAGTGTAAGAGTGTGTGTTTTACAGCTATGTATCACTAATTGCACAAGACATACGCAGACATTAACATATACAAACACAAATGGGATAAATCACAAGCACTCACACACACAATGATGCATACTTTCAGGCGCCACAAGGTGGTTTTAGCGGCATTTCGGGTGGTCGGTGGGTGGTTGGGTGGTTGGGTGGTTGGGTGATTGGGCGTGCCTGTGCGACTCATTAAGTGCTTTGATTTGTCGGTGGAGATTACAAAATGAAACATGGATCCAACTTAATTGCAAGCTCATGGCCAAGAAATCAATGAAACACATTTAAATGTCAAATCAAATTCAAAGCATAAACCCCAAACAAAATTCTAAGGCAAACAAACAATAGGATAATATTAATTAATAAATCATTACGCAAATGATTGACATTCGGCTCAAGTCATAGGCCCCAATTAGGGTTAAGTAAATTTGAATTATTATTACAATTACGATTGCTTACATCGAGTGGAAATATTTCCGTTTTAAAAAGCTTTCAAATGTTGTACAAATTTTAATATTAATACAAGTAGATTTTAATTTTAGATATTATCCTTGGCAACATTTTTTTTACAGTCAAATAATAATAATGAAAAATACAAACCGAAAGTGTTATATTGAATTGCAAGTTTGTCGAGGAAAAACATTTTAATGATGATTTGGCCAGCAAAACCGACCAAATGAATGTCAATATGAGAGATAAATACTGGCAACCAAATTACAGACGAAAATACCAAGGACAAACAATGGCTACGGGCAACAAATTTGGGACAGCAATTAAAGCTCAACGAAAAACACACACAAAACTCAAAATCAAAACGCAATGAGTGGGCTGGAAAAATGTGAAAAATAAAACCGAAATTTGAGTTCTCAATTGTACGGGATGCAAACAAAACAAGAAATGAAGCTAGCTTCGGCCAGCCGAAGTTTATATACCCTTGCAGATCATTGTTATTATACTATTAACTTAAAAAAAAAAACAATAAATACAGATTTACTTGCGTATATGTTATAACAATCTAAATTTTAGCTGCTTTCGTATAAGTTTGGCATTGATTTTTTGATCCTTCCTATGGCAGCTATTATATAGCCGTCCAAATTTTGTTAAATTTAATACGAAATTTCCCAGAAATGAGAATGTAATATAAATCAACAAAAATATAATGTCTTTCCAATTAATTTAATTTTTCCTAAAGCAGCTAAATAATAGAGTGATCCGATTTTTTAAAAATTTGATGGTAATGATATTTCCAAGAGTAGAAGGTTTTATTTCGAAAAAAAGTTATAAAGTGAGAGACTTTTTTGCGTGGAAACGGACAGACGGACGGACATGGCTAATCAAGAATATTTATTTTTTATGGGATCGGAAACGTCTCCTTCACTGCGTTGCAAACTTCTAACTAAAATCATTATACCCTCTGCAAGGGTATAAATATATGTTGGTGTTTTTCGAGTGCGTCAAAGGTATTTGTAGCTCTGTACGTGTGGGTGGTTCGGTGTTCTTGATTTTCTTTTTATTTTCACAGAGGTGCAGTGGATGGTGTTTTTGTTTTTTTTTCCGACTGTCGATAGTTGTTGTTGTTGTTGCAGTTGCAATAATTGTTGCTGATTGGGTTTTTGTTTTTGCTTTCGCTTTATGGGATATTTTTACCTTTGGCAATTTTTGTGGCACCAACGGCTTTGGTGGTGACAATGGTTGTTGTTGAATTTTAATTGTTGTTGTTGTTGGAGCGTTTGCTGTTGTTGTTGTCTTAGTGTTGTTGTTGTTAATATGGGTTGTTGTTGTTGTTATAGCTGTTGTTGCTACTGTTGTTGTTGTTGTTGTTGTCTGGTTGGCCTGTGACATTTTTCGTTGTGATTGATTTGCATACAAATAATTTAGTTTTCGTTGCACATGCAAATGAAATTTAGTTTTCGTATTTTTTGAATTCTTTTGGCATTGAACCCATGAATTAACTCTAATCGAGGATGCAAACACTCACACACACACAATCTTGCGACACTCACACATGCAGCACTCTCTCAAACACACACATTTCTTACTTCTTACAAAAAAAAATGCAAACAGCCTTAGAAAAATCTAAGAATAATAAAAGTGTAAATTGAAATTCCTTTAAAAGTATGTCTAAAAGTCTAAAATGTGTGCGGGTAGAATTATATACCATTGCCCACTTTTAGACACCTTTTTGCTTGATTTTGAGTCCCTTTAAATCATATCAACCATATTTCAACACCCTGTATAATAAATTGAGGTACCAACTCACCTTTATGGACGGCGGTCCACTGGAATGTGAATCATTATCGGCCAAAACGGATGGATTGTTCTCATCGACAACGATTATTTCATAATCACTATCCTGGATTTGACGACCACCTGAAAAAAAAACACAAAAAGAAAGGCAAGAAAGAGAACAAATAAAGCAATGAGATTAACTAGTTGTTGATTATATATAATTTTAGTTTTAATATTATTTAAATATTTTCTTTGTTGTTGCAGTTACGATACAATACTAGAGTAGAAATCTGTAGAGTTTACTTTACGAAGCTGTAGACGAACTCAAGAAGTAAAACCAAAAAGGATAAGAAAAACAATAAACACATAATTTAAGACCAACTTAAACTCACACACACTCAAAGGTGTTTTTGAGGATTAAGCATTGGGGTGCGTAGAAAATGTGGATTACAATTTACAATATGGGGGAGTCTTGAAAAATCTGGCAACAAAAGGCTTACGATATTCGCGTAATTTTTTTTATAACACCATCTAAAAATTTTCAGCTAAAAGCTCATAATTTGTAAGATTTTCCTGGACTTGGCTCCCTGGCTTTTATCTGCAAATTAACCTTGTTCAACTGTTGGCCATGTCCTGATCTGGCTTAATTGAAATTTATGATTGTCCCGGAGACACGTGCTCTCTGTCTCTGTCTACAACCACTCGCCCCCTCTCTTTCTCCTCTGTTAAGTATGCTACACTTTTGTGCACACCCTTATTTCATTTCATTTTTCTTTTTTTTTTGGTTTAATTTTGCAATTATTTTCATGCACTGCCACGCCCCTTACTCCCACTTGCACACAGATACACACAGAGACACACACAGACAGATTCAAAGGGAGCTGGCCACAAATTACTTTTGTACAGAAGTCGGAGCGTGTTATCGGCTCCAACAGTTGTACAAACTGTTTTTCCACCTTTTTTCTTTTTTTGTTTTTTTTTTTGTAATTTTTCCCTTGTCCTTTCATAAATTATCCGAAAGTTTTTCCCAGTCTGTTATGTTTTCGTTTCGTTTTTTTCTCCTCTTATTTTTCGGTGAGACTAATTTACATTTTTGTCGCTGCCATTAATTTCGTAATGGAAATGTTGTTGCTGCACAGACTGCTCTGTGAAAAGGATCTATGGTCAGGGAATTTCCTTTTGGTTATTGCTTTAAGGATGGACTGATAGACTAAGTGATTTTATGCGATATTTAAAATTTACTCAATGTAATTTTAATTTGTTTTTAACTTTAATTTTAATTTAATATTTTTATTGTTTTATTTTAATATTCTATGAAAAAATAATTTAGTAATTTTAATTGGTTTTTTTTAATATAATTCTAATTTAAATAAATTTAAAATATTGTTAGTTTCCTGACAAAAACGGAGTTTAATTTTCATTCTGATTACAGGGTATTCTTCCATTTAGATGGAAATCAAGAGAACAAAACTGCCCTCTGCCAATTTTTCGGGCCTTCCCTGTTTTCCTTCCATTGGCCTTTTCCCTGACCATTTTTACAATTTTTACAATTTTTAAAATGCAGGCGTGCCGAATGCCGTTTTATGGCCTGTCTGCGAAATGTTTTATGCGCACTCACACTTGCCAACGCACACACACACTAATACACACTCACAGAAAGAGAGCTCCGTGTATGAATGGCAAATTGTATAATTTTCGTGTAATTCATTTTCATAAAATGTAAAATTAACGAATTATGTTTCATTGCCGGTGGGAAAGTGGGAGGTTTTTCGGGGGGAGTGCTCAACATATTCCAGCTTTCGCTCTGCCTATGTGTGTGTGTCTCTGTAAGTGTGAGAGTCTATTGCAAATGAAGATAAATGAAATGGATTTTTGCTGACAGCACAAAAATGACGAGCGCAAAAAATTATATATAGCTGGAGTAAAAGCAAGAGAAATGGATGGAGAAAGTCCTAGAGCCCCCAAAACGTGTCAAAAATTTTCTAGCTGTCACTGTGTGCATGTGCGAGTTTTACAAAGATAGATTGCAGTTTTTAAAAGCATATTTGGATACCGAATTTCCAGGCTGACCATTACACAATACAACCATTGCTTCCATTTTCCCTTTCCCACACATTAGAAGCCAGAAACCCAATTATAAACCTCCCTCAATCGAAAGGCAAAATGAACATTTTCCTAGCCGAAAATGAAGATTGGTTGGTTTTCAAATTTGGCGAAATACGAATAAAAGTGGTTGGTGCAGAGTGCAGCTGGAAAATCAGGAAAAACTGATGCGATTAAGCAGGATAAAATGGGGAATTATTAACTGAATATGAGGCGAAACAACACAAAATATAAATAGCAAAGCTAATACTTTAAATTCATTCTTTGTTTTTTTATTTATTTTGATAATTGATTTCTTATCTTAAAACCAATTAAGAAACAAAGAAAAGATGGCCAACAAGGAATATTCTTTCAGTCTATTTGCATCCTATATATATGACATATATTCCCACAAAAAATAACACAAATCCACACACACAGTCACACATCCAACGAATAAGTAACAATTAGCAGAATATTTCACATAAATCCATGTCTCAGTTTCAGTTTCAGTGAGTTTTTGGGTGGGAAAGTGTTTCATGTACAAATCTATAAATCTTTCAGCTTTTTTTTAATATATACACACATATCTACGAATACGGAAAGTCAAGGAAATGAAAGGCAAGTGAATCGAGAAAAATCAAAACCAAAATCGAAATCGAAAACAAATGAAATCGTAACGAAATCGCAAGGAAAGGCAAGAAAGTGAGCAACAATCTAGCAGCTAAAGATATAGAGATTATAGCCGTGTTCCACTGGGATATGGGTTTTAAATCTATCATTTAATAATAATTTCTCGTAACTTAAATTTTAAAACTTATGATCTCTTAGTGGAACATGGCTACTCAGCTAAGATAAATATAGAATACAGATTACAGTTTACAGATACACATAGATAGTTGGGCAGTAGTGCGAATTGGTTATTCTATAGACTCTACGACAGTCGAACGAGCGATACCTGTTCCAGCGGATGCGTTGCGTCCATTGTAGCGATAATTATTATTTATGGCGCTCGTCTTGTAGGCCACGCCTCCATCCAAGCCCCCTGCCACGCCCCCTGCCATGCCCACACCACCACCAACACCACCAGCAACACCAGCATTTGCATTTGCAACAACGCCCGTTGTTGCAGGTATTCCGGGTATGCCAGAGATTCCTTGGTTTCCCGGCGATGATGATGAAGTTGCTCCTCCTCCGTTCCTCAGGTTTCGCATATTGTTCATCAGACTGGAATTATTATTATTGCCGCTGGCATTGGATCCATGGCCATTCATCAGTCCCACTGTTTGGTAGTCGGAAATGCCGTTCTGCTGTCCCGCAGACTCTCCATTTCGTAAGTAACCAGCATGCGGATGTGGATGCGGATGGGAGTGGGGATGGTAGCCCGCCGTGGATCCATTTTCCGCATAGTGCTTACCATTCAGCTGCTGATGTTGCTGGTGGCCATTGATCAGTCCGTAGTGCGGCTGATGTGGATGGTAATGTTGCTGCTGCTGCTGCTTGTGCAACTGGCGATGCGACTGCTGCTGACTCTGGGAGGCCAAGCTGGAGAGCGAGGAGCTCGAAGCTGGCTGGGATGTGGCCGTGGAGCTGGCCGAGGAGCTGGTCGAGTGTGTGGCCAAGGGAGTGGGCGAGTGTTGCTGCTGTCCAGCTGCAACTTGCTGATGTTGCTGCTGCTGCTGTTGCTGCTGCTGCTGCTGCTGGTAGTAAGCAGCAGTCATGTGATGGTGACTGTGATTATGGGCAACCTGCTGTTGCTGCTGCTGCTGCTGCTGTTGCTGGTAGTAGTGTTGCTGCTGTTGCTGCTGCTGGTGTTGCATGTTGCTATTGTGATTCTGGTGCGATTCGGGCAGGAATTGCGGGTAAACATGATGTGACCATTGGGGAAACAAAGGACGCGCACTGGCGGCTTCTAAAGTTCGGTTTTTATATGTTTTCATGGTATTTACACACATATTTTGGGGGGCAAAGGCGAGGTATTCGGTATTCGTTGGTTGATTCATAATCAGTTTTCCGTTTTTATGCAATTTTTGGTTTGGTTTTGTTTAGTTTATGGTTTTTTGTTTTTTGTACAATAAATCCGAAAAAGCAGCGTGAAATGAAATCATCGGTAAACGGAACAAAGAAAAGGAAACATAAAACCGAATAGTATCTCCAACAATGGAACAGACATGAGATATTCTTGTGTTCTTAACAGCTAGTGATTATATATATATATATTGTATATATAATTTATAGTAGTAAAGGGGGCGGGGGATTGGTGGACTTTTAGGTGGGGGTGGTGTATGCGGAATAATGATGTGGGAGAGGTGAGTTACTTTTCAAAGGGGAAGACACACACACGCACATGAGAGGAGTTCTAGAGGGGATTTGGGGGTGGGTCCAGCGGTTAAAGTGCGGTGGTTGGTGGGCTGGGTGGTCTTGTGGGTGGGCTTTAAGGTGGATCGAAAAAAAACTCTCATCGAGTGGCATCTACCATTTAAAACACTTTTGTTCAGCTGTTCAAAAAACACAGAACACAAAACCAAAAGCGGAAACAAGCCGAAACCGAGATGAAAAATGGAACGAATCGATAAAACAACAATAAAACTAATAAGTATATATATATATATTTATTTAGGTAATATATATAGGTAATGGAAAACAAATCCAGTTAACTAGCGGCCGAATCGAAAACAGAGCCAAAAGGTAAAACGATAAACGAGCGTGAAGTTTTTGGTGCAGCAAGAAAAGGGAAATCAAATCGGGAACGAAACAAAAACGGAAATCAAAATCGAAATCGAAACGAGAAACAAACGCAACCGAGGAACACAAGTGAAACGGAAAACGAAACGAAACGGAAACGGAACACGAAATGACGAGAAGTTCGTTTCGCCGTCCCAGAAAATGATCATCTCTAGCAATGGGTATAATATAATAATATCTATAGCATTTCCGGGGACACTGATCCCGACCAAAGTCGGCGGGATGGGGAATTGTCTGGGCGGGTCTTTGATCTCCTCCCAGGGGCTCCACTTACCGCCGCCTGCCGTGCGCTGGAGCACCGGCGATTGACGCTGGATCTGCGGCTCTGCCGGCGGCTCCAGGATGTCGCGGTACTTGGAGACCATCAGGACCGATATAAAGTAGACGATCGCCAGCGACAGGAACTGTGCCTGCTTTGTCTCCTCCTGGAATGGGTGAAAAAGTACCAATTTTTGTTAATAATATGTATAAAAACCATTCTGTCATGGTAATAATATAATATTTAATTCCTGATAAGTATTGAGATTGGTTGAAAAATATGGTTCAGTTTTAAATTAAAATTTTATTGAATAATTGGGATTATTTAATTTGGGGCTTCAAATTGTCTCTCAATGATTTATAAAAAGCCTTTAAAATATTTTATTAAAGTATGTATTAAGACCACTCTATCATGGTAATAATATAATATTTAAATTTTTGAAAATATTTAAAAGGGTTAAAAAACTTTGTTTAGTTTTGTAGTTATTAATTAAAATTTTATTGAATAATTTGTAGGTATTAAACTTTATAAAAAGGCTCTTAAATATTGTATTAAAATATGAATTCAATTAGTTTTCGAAATTTAATTATTCATCGATTTTCTTGTTTTTCCATTTTAATACTTTTGCAACTCAATTATGCTGTTAATACTTAGCACACAATTCTCTAATTAATAAATAAAGTAATGTATTTAATAATGTATTTAATTTTAAAAAGTCCTATATAAAATCTTAGAGTTAGTATTCGCTCACCACATCGCGATAAATGACGGCGCGCAGGCGATTGACGTCCATGTCCTGGAGCAGCTTCTCGGGATCCTTGACGGGCGATAATTGACCGGTGATTGACTCGACAATGTTCTGTTCGAAACGGGGCATTTAGAAGGGGGAAGTGAGGATTGAGGACTTTGGGTTTCGGGGGGGCTGAGGGATATCTCACCTTGGGCGATGCCTGAGCACCGCGGATGAGCGCCTGCAGGTGCGCCGCACCCGGGACATCTCTCGCCAGGGCGCCCACATTGTAGCGCGTTCGCTCCTTGCACTCCAAACAGTTCCTCACCGCACAGGTGCAGACCAACCGAAGGCACTGGCGCAGGATGCCGCCACTGGACATGTTCTTCTCCGCCTCCAGCTCACCGAAGTTCAGGGACGTGGCAAAGATCAGCACATCCGCCATGTTGACCAGGCGCTGCAGGAAGGACACGGCCACCTCCAAGGGCATGCCCTGCGTGGGCTCCAGCACGTCCAGTTCGGACTGCAAGGAAAGGCAGGGATTATATTTTATATGTTATATTTTTTATGTTTTATCAAAATATTTAATAACTTTCTACAAGATGTCCCTAAACTTCACTTCCTTAAAAGTAAAAAAATTAAGGATATTTACTGTGCTTTCGCTATGACTTCTTGAAAAATAACTTTCTATTAAAATAACACAGCCGGGAATCCATGCTTTTAATCACTCTCAGCTGATAGAGATGCCGGACCGTTAAAAATATGTGAGACTGATTTTAGACCTAATTATTCACCAAAAATTCACCAAAAAAGTTGGTAAACGTGTTTTTATACTCGTGTAATTGTACAAATAGAAAATGTATTTAATTTTTAATTTCTAATGCCACTGAGGGGGGGAAAAATCTGTTGAGGGAAAGAGTTTGTTATATTTTAGCGATCTGGCAACGTCGATAATTTATATCGGAGTTACCAGAGCTGAAATCAAAGTAAACTTTCGTGTGCTGTCGAAATCACGAGCATTAAAAAGTTACAATGTAAATTATTAGGTGCCTTATTAAATAAATTATCTAATAATTTTTGCAATTTTTTAATTTCTTCTAAAATTTTTCAATAAATTTTACCTTTCAAGATTAAAAATGATTTATTAAGACCAAGCTTATACTCACATTGGGTGAAGTGGCGCTGGCCAGCAGGGGCAGCAGTCCTCCGCAGGCGATGATCAGGTTGTCCGCCAGCTGCGAAATCAGATGCACCGTGTTCACCACAAAGATGGCATTCTCACTCGAGTTGACAAAGTCGAGGACGCTCTTGGTGGAGTGACTGCGCCACACCTGGATGTCCGTTTCCAGCGAGAAGAGCACATCGCTGAGCAGTCTCTGGTGGATGTAGGACCACTTGAATTCCGGTATCCGGAAGGGTGGACGCGTGGGTCCCGGACTGAACATGGGTCGTGTGGATCCGGACTTGGAGCGCTGCTGTTGCTGCTGCTGCTGTTGTTGCTGCTGCTGTTGCTTGGGTTCCGGATTGCCGGGGCCATAATGATTGGCCTCCAGTTGGTTGGCCTCCGATTGTGTCTGCTGACTTGCGTACTCTTCATCTTCGATGGCAATGCCACCGGCTGATTGGGCCTCCTCCTCCTGGAGGACTTGCTGCACCTCCTCAACCATCAAATTAGAGCCCGCCTCGTTCTTCGGCGTCGTCTGGGTGGTGGAGTCCACCTCAGTGGGTTTCACACGCACTGGCGTCACAGCGGCTTCCTTGGTTAGAATCTTTGGCGACTGCTCCTCGGGAGCGGGCGAAGTCTGGGTGGTTTGCTCGGCGGCCACGGCCTTGACGGTATCATCGACCAGTGAGTCCAGGACTTGGTTCACAATGGCCACCACTTGCTCCTCTTGATTTTGGGGTAGTTCTGTGGTAACTTCCTGATTTGTTGCTTCCTCGGTTTGGTTATTCTTTTGATCTTCTTCAGGTGCCTTGGCTTCCTCCTCCTTTTCCTCGGTTGGCGCATCCTCCTCTTGGACCAAAACGAGAGCTGCTTCCACCACCTCATGGACAATTTCCTCGGCTGCAGCGGCCAGATCCTCGGAATCCTCTGGCTGGGAACTCTCCCCCTTGGGTAGTTCATTATTATTTGTCTCCGTTTTGATTTCACTGGCAGTTTCCGCTTCCGTGGCATCGATCACCTTGTCGATGAGTTGCTCTACGATATCCCTAACGGCCAAGGCCACTGGATCCTCAGCTTCCACTTCCGTTTCCGCTTTCGTTTCCTTTTCCTCTTCCGTCTTGACCTCGTTATCAGAAAGCTGTAGAAGATCAGCTTCTGGCTCAGCTTCGGCTTGCACAATAATTTCGGCCAGCTTCTCGTTGTTGTTCAGCTTGTTGGCTGCATCTTCAGTCTTTTGATTGGTTGCTACTACGGGGCTATTGGGTTCTATTGGGCTTGGCTTGGCCGTTTCCGGTGTTTCCACTTCCGTTTTCGTCTCCTCCTTGGGCGGCTGCTCCTGTGTGCTGCTCACGATCTCATTGGCATTGACCTCCTTTTCCGTTTCCGCCTCCTCCGTCGTCGTGGGCATTATGGGCGTGGCACTTGGACTATTATTATTGTTATTATTATTATTGTTGTTGAGCAGATTCTTGCTGTTCAGCAGGCTAACATTCACAACATCCTGCTCCTTGTTATCCTTGTCGGCCTGGGATTTCTTTTCGTTATTAAGCACTCCCTGAACGACCTCGTTCACGGCGAGCTCGATCTCCTCGTCCTTGAGAACGGACGAGGACTCCTGCAGCACATCGTCGACAGCCATTTTGCAATCGTTGAGCGCCGCCTCGGAGGCCTGAAGAACTCGCGCCACATGCTGCTCGGCATTGAGGGCATCCTTGGCGGTGGCCAGCTCCAGTTCCTCCACCTCCATGTCATCGCCCAGCTGCAGCGTTTCCCTGAGGGCTTCCAAAGGCGAGGCATCCGGCTTCAGTTCCTCTGCAGGATCCTCCTCCTCCTTGACCTCCTCCAGATTGCCATTGCATGCGCCTTGATTCGTTTTGATCTGCTCGTTGTAGACATCCGAAATGTTGGCTATCACGGACTTGGGTTCGGCCTCCTCGATGATGGGACCCTCTTGGATCTCCACCTCCTCGAGCTCCAGCTCCTCCACCTCCTCCTCGACCACCGGCGGCACATCCTCCAGCGAGGCAATGGAAACGGCGCCCGCTGCTGCTACTCCTTGATTGGAAGCCACTGCTGCTCCAGTTGATCCACCACCATTCTGCTGCTGCTCCTCGCGCTCCCAACCACTGATCGTACTAATCGGCCTGGCCTGACGCAGGGCAGGATCGGTGATGTTGTCGGTGCGCTGGCGCTCGTAGTGCTCGTACATCTGGGCAAACTGCAGCTTGAACTCCTCGTACGACACCTTCGAGTGGACAATGGCCAGGGTGTCCACCCAAACACGCCAGCCGCCGTACTCGTGCTTGATGGCATGATGGAGCAGCATGCGGAACAGCGAGTACACCATGTCGCTGATCTTCTGCTCCTCGCTGCTCTTCGGATGGATGTAGGCCATCGCAATGAGCCACTCCTGCCACACGGACATCTGGAGCACGGTGCGCCGGTTCTCCCGATTGCTGTTGCACAACAGGGTCATGTCCTGCAGGAACAGCTTCTTCACGTCAATCAGCGACTCGGTCTGCTTCGACTGCCGAATGAGGGTGGCCACCACCTTGAGGATCACTGCAGGGGATCACAAAGATTTCGATTTGGTTACAACAGGAAAAATCATTAAATAAAATTATACATAAAAAAGTAATTGAAAAAAAAACATTTTTTTTATTAAAGGAGGAGTTTTTTAAGTTTCGAGGATTTATTTAATAGATTATTGTTTTAAAGAATTAACTATTAAGTAAATTTTTAATAATAAATCAATAAAAACCATTTTAAAAATACTAAAAAAAAAAGAATTTTATCAAAGAAAAAGTTATTGGAATTTCGAGGATTTATTTAATAGATTATTGGTTTTTAAAATCAAAGGTCAAGTAAATATTTAATGTTAAATCAATAAAAACCATTTATAAAATATTTAGCTAGAAAAAATAAATAAAAAAACAATTTATTTTATCAAAGGAAAAGTTTTTTGAATTTTGAAGATTTATTAATAGAGAATTGGTTTATAAAGTCAAAGATCAAGTAAATATTTCAACAATAAATCAATGAAAACTATTTATAAAATATTTAAAAATATTTTCCCTACATTGTATCATGGTATGCATTTAAAATTTTAAAATTTCATTCATATTTCGAATTATAATCTAGCATTAAAGATATCCCTTCACTTACTTGGATTCTCCAGACGGTAGTGACTCTCCGGTTCCGGATGCCGTGTGTACAGAATCTGCTGCGAGATGTGCTCCGTCATGATCTCGTAGAGAACATTGTAGGTGGGCAGGGACAGTGACTCCTCGTAGAGGAGCAATCGTTCTGCCAGCAGTGTGTACAGATTGTGTGGCGACATCACGTCGTACTTGCGTCTAAATGGGGACAATCAAAAGAGAGATGGGGGTTGGATTATACCAAAAGGTAGAGCATTCATTCATTTTCCCCCGCGAAAAAGGCCACTCGATAAAGTGTACTCACTTGTGAGTGCTCCGCGAGAGGAAGAAGCCCAGCAATTTGAGGGCCTGCAGCCGAATCAACTGACTTTCGGCCGCCAGCAATTTGAAGATGCTGCGCACACCGTGCTTCACATCGAAGGCAGGTACCATGGAGCTGGGGTGCTCCGACATCAGCGAGATGAGCATTTGCAGCACGTCGTGCAGGTTCTCGTCCTGCGGACAATACGGACAAGAAACAGGGGGAAACAGTTAATCGGGCTCCTCCTTTAGGGCTGTTAGACCCACCTCGTGCATGGTGGTCAGATAGTTTAGAATGCTCTGCAGTTCGTCCTCCTTCACGCCATTGCCGATCATGATGAGCTGCTTGAGGAACAGAAGGATGTAGGCGCGGATGGCCAGGATGTCCTTTTGAGCCGGACGAGGTCCATCTGTCAAATAACACAGGAACACAAAATTAAACTTTGTGAAATTTCCACGAACCATTTCAAGTTTTCCATGATATTTGGGTGCTCCTGAGTAAAAGTCCCATACAAAAGTATTTTCCATCACCTACAGGTTCCGCGGTATAGCTAAGAATACAAAAAACCGATGTTTGACGAAATTTTGAATTACATGGCCTATATAATTGGACTAACCTTTATTATTTTCGGTAGAACCTATTCTCAATACATCACGGCATTCCTAAAAAATAGTCCCCATTGTGAACCATTGCCCATGTCTTTGGAATTCGACGCCAAAGTTGAAAATCCCAAAATTGTAGAGATTTTTCTGATGGAAAAACAATTCTGAGGATTAAATCTTGAATGGAAGTAATTTTAACTATTCATTGTATCTATTGTTCATTGTATGCTTTAATTTCGGTTTAAAGCGTTTTCATGAGGACATTTTATTGGATTTCTTATACTAATAAAACCGATTTTTTTATTTCATTATCTACTCCTAAATGTTGTCAAATTTTGAATAAGTCATGGCAACCTCTAGAACTAAGAAACTAAAATACGTTCACTGAACATACAAAGAGAAATGTAAATGTTTACTCCCATTCTGTAGGATGCCTTGACTTTTTTAAAATTTGACAACATTTAGGAGTAGATAATGAAATAAAAAAAACGGTTTTATTAGTATAATAAATCCAATATAAAATATTCTCATGAAATCGCTTTAAACCGAAATTAAAGAATACAATAAACAATAGATTCAATGAATAGTTAAAATTACTTCCATTCAAGATTTAATCCTCAGAATTGTTTTTCCATCAGAAAAATCTCTACAATTTTGGGATTTTCAACTTTGGCGTCGAATTCCAAAGACATGGGCAATGGTTCACAATAGGGACTATTTTTTAGGAATGCCGTGATGTATTGAGAGTAGGTCCTACCGATATTAATAAAGGTTAGTCCAATTATATAGGCCACGTAATTCAAAATGTCGGCAAACATCGGTTTTTTGTATTCTTAGCTATACCGCGGAACCTATAGGTGATGGAAAATAATTTTGTATGGGACTTTTACTCAGGAGCACCCAAATATCATGGAAAACTTGAAATGGTTCGTGGAAATTTTTGGCTGTGTACCTGTGTAATTGTTAAATCAATAAAAAGTCGATACGAAATATCAAATCTATGATTCAAACTATCATTTTGATATTTTACCGAATCATTTAAAATACCATTTTAAGTATTTTATGAATATATAGTGTAAAATAAGATAAACATAATCTTTATTCATATCAAAATGATATGAATAACTGGATCTTTAAAAAATATAAAATTGACTAGCACATTTCAATCTGACGTTATGCCAATTTTTTTTTGTGTATAAATATTTTTCAGAATTCCTGCTAACAAAAGTCTTGCAAAGCAAATAAAATTCCATATAATAAGAGCTTTAAAGTAGACCTTGAAAATATATCGACAGTTTGCTGTTTCTCGATTATTAATTTGTGTTTTCCCTTCAAAACATCGATATTGTCAAAATATCGAAAATATCGATAATTCTCAAGCTCTACTTTAAAGACCTATCGAGAGTGGTGTTTAAAAATCTCTTTTTAAGAATTTTTATTCCAATAGAGTTACTCACCCAGTCCCTTGGGAATGATGCCGCTCTTGGCCCGCGGATTGACCACCCAGTAGTAGTACTTGAGGGTGTGCACCGTCTGCAGGACCGTGCTGACCCTCCTCACGTTGCTGTAGATCTGCGTGTCCGAGAGGAACTCGGTGGCCAGGTAGGAGTACAGTCGCGCCTGGACATTCGCGGGCGTGTATATCCACAGGGCTGGGTTGAAGAGCACGTGGTCCAGCAGCTGCCACGTGAGAAACGAGAAACAGAACAACTGCGGCGAATTAGTCAAGTAACTTATGCTGTCCTCTCACATTTCGATTGGGTGACTTTGTATAAAAACTGTGGGGGAGCTCGAAAGGGAAGGGTGTGTATATAGATTCTCAGATAGTATAGTTTATAGTTTGGGGGATAGGCAAAGAGATTAAAGCGTGTGGATATTTAAGAAAGAGGGGGGCAAAGAGTGCAGATTTTAAAAATATGAGATCGTTTGGTATACATACGGTTAAACATGAGTTTCGGTTTTTGGTTGTTGTTGTAGTTTATGTTGATTTTTATTTATTTGTTTGGGTAGTAGTTATTTTGGGAGTAAACATGGGTAACACATGCAGCAAACAGCATAACGGCAATCAACGAACATAAAATCAAATTCCAACGGAACGGAATGGTACGGAACGAAATGAAACGAAACAAACAATTGCATTCCGGTATTCATGAGGTTAGCTTCAAAAGTTAGGGGTTAACACTTAACTAAGCTAAATTAAACTAAAGCTAAATCTAGGCTAAGCTAGGCTAATTAAGTAAGTTAAGTTAAGGCTGTAAATATTTAAGTATATAACACAGTATGCTAATTTATATAAAGTATGACGGAAAAATGGCTTTTGATGCTTTCATTATGATATATGTATAGACTGATGGGAACTATCTAAACGATTGAAAATACTCTTTTCGACCAGGTCAAATTTACCTGGCCGCATATCAAATTGAAATTGATCTTAAATAATGTAAAATCGATCTGCGTTTCATATCAATTTTTTTTTTGGGTGTGGTAACCATATTCGTATACATGTTATAGTCTTTTAACCCTGACCTGCATCCCAATGAAATCCCTTTAACCATCTGAGCATTCAGCTCAAATCATCATCAAGCGCACTAATTGAAACTTCCAGCTGGTTTATTACCAGAGACCAGTAGAATATCGCCTGAAGAGTCACTTAATGGACGGCATTAAAGTGTGCAGTATATCTGAGTGTAATCCAGTTAAGGGCAACTTCTGGCTAGTGGGAATCGCAATCCGCTTTAATTTCATTCATCTGCTTTTGGCCGGGGCCCAAACAAAACTTGTTAAGCCATCGCCTCAACTTGTTGGATTGTCAAAACCAGTGTTGCCATGGCTCTCTGGCTCCCTGGTTCTCTGGCAACAATGCAACAAGGTTTTCACACCCCTCGAAAAACCCAAACCCAATCCCGAACCGAACCCCACTCGACTACTGCTGCCGGAGAAGTTTCCCAATTAAAAAGCTGTGCACCGAATGTAAAATAAAAATGCAACCAGCACCCCCAAAGGTGCCACGAGAAATATTTGCAGCTTTTCAACTCTTCGTATTTTTTGTACATTTCTTTCTGTTTTTTTTTTCCTACCAGAAATTTATTCATTTTGCGAAGGACAAGGGAGAATCGGATTGTGGAATGGTATGGAACGGTATATATATATATAGAGAGGGATTGGAGATATGCGAGGCGAGCAATTAGGAAGGTGCGATGCGGTGCTGTGAACACAACTTTCGCTTCAATTATCCAAATGACACATTGAACAAATTGAGTGAGGAACGGAGTATGTGGGGGTTGGGTATGGGGATGTGGGTGAGGATGAGAAATGTGGCGAGGGAGCAGGAAAAGCCAAAGTAAAATCTGTGACTGACGTTCGGGTTTTTCGGGGGGCCTTGAGGTTGCGCTCAAGGTTTTCCACACAGAGTTAATAAGATTATGCGGTTTATCGTTGCGGTTCGGCGGTTAAACAAAGCGTAACGGAACAAAATGGAATGAAGAGCGAAATGAGTCGGCTATATACTTAATATATATTTATATAGTAGGTATACAAATCGATGAATATGGGGCGGGAACGATGACGAGATGGGAGTTTACTTTTATATGTACAGATGATGTTCAACAAATTACGCTAAACACAGACACAAAATGAAACGAAACGTTATGAACAGTGGAACGGAAACGGAAACACATATGTTACACATATATTGGATATAGTATTTGGAATATATATGCGAGTACAGAGAGTACAGAAAATTCGAGAATTGAGCTTCACCTGGTAGAACTGTTGTTGATTTTTATGTTGTTTATAGTTCGTTGTTGTTGTTGTTGTAGTATTTGTGTGTGATTCAAGTGTTTGAGAATTGATGAGGCGCATTTGAATTGAGTTATCGATAACCGATCACAATAGCAAGAAGCGGGGAGGGGAACGATTGAAATGGACAAGCGATCATGAGTGTGGAACGTGTGGGAACGGTGGGCGTGGCAGGAAACACAGACAGATAGAGAGAGAGCGCAGGGGAGAGAGAAATAGAGAGTGAGAGTGAAAGAGAGAGCAGACAAAATTAGAAGAAGACAGTTTAGTTGTAGTTAATATTTGTTCTTCTTTTACGCTATTCATTTGTCATTCGCTGACTTCTGGCTAGGGAAAGTATTAATTTTGATTAATCTCATTTATGATTTCGAGCTGATCAAGCGAATCGAAGCGGTGCCCAGGCAGGTGCAAAGTGCAAGCGAAACGAAACGGAATGGAAACGAAACGCAAATGGATCGAATGGCTGCAACTGATCGGCAATCGGAACGCAAGAATGGAACAATTTGCTATCGGCCAATCGATAAGCTTCCTCGAAGCACATCACATGCAGATAAACAGTGTGCGAGAAATGCATGCAATAGTCTGGTTAAAAAATTATACAAAATTATAATCTTAAACAACGAATTCAAGTATCAAATTAAAAAATTTTTAAAAAAGACTCACAGATTGAAAATAAAACAGGGCATTATACTCAACCAATTCTGTTTGTTTTGTCAACTGATAAGAAAATCAATCAAAAGCCAATCCGTTCACTTTCCATACTCCGCTCAGCCTAAATAATAGAACAAAGACTTTGCTCTACCTTTAAACTAAGCGGGTTATAGAATTCAATGGGCAACCAATGGGATTTTGAGGGAGAGATACGAGTATTTCCCCCAGGTCGCACAGACTGGCAAATGGCATAAAACAAACATAAATATGCCGGAGATACTTGTATACATATATATACGTATATATACGTGTATCGTGTGGGTGGATGCTTGTGAGTATATGCGAATAGTACGAGTACGAGTACGAGTATATTTGCTTAAGAGATTCTCAAGTGCAGTTACTTATAACGAGAAATGTGAGCAGTTGTTTACGGTTGTGTTTACTTTTTTGAAAGGATTACGCAGGCCTGTGTTCAACTGTGCGCCATCATCATCATAACCATCATCATCATCATCATCATCATCAAATCATCATCAACAAAAGGCAAAACATAGTGAGTGCGATAGATAGAGTTGAATGTATATATTTATGTGTGTGTGTGTGTGTAGAAAGAGAGAGATAGAGACAGAGAAAGCAACAAACGAGACGAAATCGCATATCATTTCTGGGATTTTCTTTTTTGTTTTCTTGTTTTTCCGGAGAGATGGGTTCACATGCCACCCGGAAAACAATCGATGGGTTGGGTTTTCATTTTGTTTTGGTTTTTTTTTCATGTCGGGTGTAAACGAACAACAAGAACGCGTAACACAGTTGTAAATCAAATTCGCAAGGAGATTTCTTTTTTTTTTTGCTGAGGGGCGGGCTTTTTGCATGCTTAACCACCCCCCAAAAAACATAACTGGCACTTAGATCAAACTTAGTCATTGTAATATATATATAGATAGTATAATACATAGAAATACATTTCACATTCATCACAAAATAACACGGCATGCCAAAGACATTGCGCATACGCAGCGTGGTCCGCATTGCATCCGATCGTCCCTCCTTATATATATTATATATATATTTATAGGTATGTATATATGGTATTCTCATTACAGGCTAACGAATTGGCAGGCAGGTGGCGAACTCGCTGACGACTTACCTGCTTGAGCAGCAGATCGCTGTTGGCCGACAGGCAGGTGACCAGATACTTGGTGAGGTTCAGGAAGGAGCCCAGGACCTCGAGGGTCAGGTGTTCGCGGGAGGAGCGCTGCAGCATGAACGAGATGACCAGGAAGCCCCGGTTCTGGATCATGTGCTGCTGCACCGTCTGCGATGTTTCCACCAGTTCACAGATGAAGCCTAGCAGCTTGGAACTGAGAAAAGGGTAAAAATGTATGAAAATAATTATTAATAATCTGTTTTATTAATTATTATAAACCAATTCTGACTCATTGTTGCAATTTATTTACTTTCTAGGTTAGATAAATAAATTTAATTAAATTTGGTGTCTAAAAGTATGCAACAAAAAATTTCAAAACAGATAGACAGGCTCAATATCCTCATCCCTTTTTTACTGCATACTTTTAGACACTTTTATAATTTCTTTCAAAGCACTAGTGAATATAAAAACTTGTTTTGGTTTTAAATATGAGAAATAGGAATACATTTTTCATATGAGTTATAAAATTAGGTAAATATTTTTAAAATCCCTACAAGCAGATAATATATTTTACCACCCAAGTGGGTCTTTTTCGCACTCACCACAGCGTGGGATCCCGCTTGATGTCGCCCAGGCCCTCGTGGGCCATGTCCAGCTGCGAGAAGAGCGGGAACAGCACCTGGATGCCGCCAATCGAGTTGAGGGTGCAGTGTATCGAGTGCGTGACCACGGCCTTTACATCCTGCAAAAGTAAAAGCAAAAGCAAATTTCAATTTAATCAGAGGTCTATTAATCGCCTAAGCTGTCATCAGCTTGCTGTATTTCGCACAGGACACGTTCGCCGGTGCTTCGTGCTTCGGCTCCTGTGCTTCTGCTCCTGCTCCTGCTCCTCTTATGATTTGTGTGTTGTTTGCCCAAGAAATTACTACAAAATTTATTGAATAATTTTCGGCCAGCAACGCCGTGCTTTCCGGTGCTTTTCGGACCTTTTGGGCTAATAAGAAATGCCAAGGCATGCGCCGGTGTCGTAAAATTTCTGCATTGAATTTATGCTCCCTGGGAGGCTTATGCTGCCCCTCCAGCTACTTTTTCACCTTCCTCAGCGTGTTTCTGCCTGTCATTTACTCACCTGCAACATCAGCGCATGCGGCGTGTGCACGAAATATGAAACGTTTCCCTTGGGCGACGACTGCAGACACAATTGACCATCGGTGGCCACCGGATTGTACATGAACACAATGGCATTCGATAGTTTGCCATCGTACAGGACCTGTGGGCAACAAAACATGGGCTGGGTGAATAATCAGGGCAAATATCTGGGGAATCTGGGGAGTCTGAGCAGTGTATATGTGGCAGGGATTAGGCCGGGCTTTCGGCGAGTCATCGAGTGGCATCGAGCTGGGCACTAAGGATGGCCCAGTCCATGGACTCCATGGACCGGAGATTTGTCCTCAGTTATTGCAATTTACTTAGGCTTTGTCTTTAGCTTTGCTGTTGGCTTTGGCTTTAAGCTGGCACACAAAGTACAAAACCAAAAAAGAAGAAAACAAAAAAAAAGAAACAGCAACACACACACAGACAATAAAAGCACGTTTCCAAGGAAAAGCCAAGTTTGAAAATCCATAGCATTAAATACCCAACAGAGTTAAAGTAGCAAAAGTTAAATGATTTTTCGAATTTACTTTAAAAAAAAAATTAAAATTTAATATAATTCAAAGAATTAAGATATATGTGGTATTTAAGAAAGTTCCGTTAACTGATCTTGAAACTGTATGGAATATAGAACACTGCATAGAACACAATTTATGTGCAGCTCGGATATTAAGTCCTTTGTGCTCTGATAAACTCTGTAGAAATCTATAAGGAACTCTGCCAGGTCATTACAATTTACCCACACGCGTGCAAAACACAAAGACGGCACTGTGTATGTGTGTGTAAGTTTAATATTAAACTATTCCATTGCTGTTCAGGAATATATATACAGTATATACACAGCACGCATCGCTGCACTTATGCTGCTTTTTCCGGCTGTAGATTTTCCTTGAGCTTCGAGTTTTCATCTCCTTGTGTGCATTTCGGCAGTGTGTGTGTGTGTTGAGTGTTTGTGTGTGTGTGTGCCATACATGTAAGCTGGTGCTTAAAATATTATAATTACTTATTTTTGGCTGCCTAATTTGCTGCTAAAAATACTTCTTTGTAATATTTCCAAGGAAAGCAAATAATCAGGAAATTAAGCAAAATTTTTTTGAAGGACAAATAATAAAAAAAAAATAAAAATAATTCCAAAAATAAATCAGAAAAAATCTAAAAAGGGAAAATTTAGCTTTAAGAGAGAAAAATAAATGCGAATTTCTACTAGTTGAATGAGCGTTTCTTTAACTTCTATTTCGCGGCACAGTTTTCTTCTCGGGATCATAACTTTCGCCCACCCATTTTCCTCACCATTTTCCCTTAAAAGCGCAATGTTTGTGTGTGTAAATGTAATTGCGTGTGCGCGTGTGTGTATGTTTGTATGTGCGGCCTTGTTTTCCCATCCCATTAACTCAACTCCCGATTTGGCACATAAAAACAACATTCAAAATAACTAAAGCACTCACTTTCTCGACCCCCTCCCCCCTTTTCCCAGCCCAGCGCCGTGGAAAATGGCATAATACCTGGCACAGCCGGGTGGGAGGCAAGTGAAAAGTGGGTGGCTGTCTACATAATAGCTGTTTCGGGTCCTGAAATGTGGAGCAAACAGCGCACACACAGGCATAGAAAATGTTCTAGCGGAATATGGAACATGCGCGCCCAAAGATTTCCAACAATCTCCGGTGGGCGGAGTGTTTTTTGGCCTTACACATTCGCCTTTGTTTACCGCCAGTTGGGTACATTTTTTTTTTGCTTTTTTCCTGAGACACCTGCCCAGGTATACGCTACATTTACTTCTCCTTACTGAAAACGGGAATTGTATTGGGGCCCATAAACTCACCAGCTTCAACTTTAAAACCCAAAAACAAGTACTAGTAAAAAAAAAACGAACCTCAAGCTATCGATTTAATGGCTGCCGCTAACTTCTTAATTGCTCACCGAAATTATAAAAACTTTTGGTTTTTGATTTCCACAGGGAACACATAAATGTATACAAAAAGTACTACAAATTGTTTAAGGGGAATTTATAAGTTTAAAATTGTTAAGTAATTAACTTTTTAGTAAAATTATCTACAAACAGGTCAGTTAAAATTCCAATTTATGATCTCCTGCAACCAAAAAAAAAACATATCGCGGTCAAATCGATATGCGTATGGTAAATTTCTGGTATTGCATTCGCATATCGTTTTTACCGAGCTTTCTTGGAAATTCTCTAACTTCGAAAGAGAGAGGGAAAATCAAACTATCTGAATTCGAAATAGAGCGAGATAGCGCGTAAAATTATGTGAGTGAGAGGGAGTCAAAATCGACATAACATCAAATCGATCTTCGTTTCATATCAAGTCTTTTACTTTAAGTTTTCACAAAGAAAAAAATAATAATAATAAAACCAGAGTACGAAAAACTTAGAAGTAAATTAAATTAAAATATAAGGTAAATAAAGTTGGCTTACAGCTTTCAGCTGGTTGACCTCCTCAGTGTCGGCGGTCCCCGACATTGAGTTCAAGCTGCTCACACTGGACATTCGGCGGAGTTGCTCTAATTTTCGGTTCCCAAATGAAAAGTTAAATACAAATTAAAAGACATAATTAAAAAATGAGGGAAAAGCAAATGAAAAGCAGTGTGTAAATACCAAAAGAAGAAGCATTTCCAGTGGGCAAATGGCCGAGCGGATCGTCCGCATTGCCAGTTGATGTTGCATGTTGCTGCTGTACCGCTGCTGCTGCTGCTGCTGTTGCCTCACTCTCTGTGGCAGCCGCAGATGTTGCTGCTGCAGCAGCTGTTCCTCCTCCTCCGCCTCCTGCTGTTGCAGAGCCTACTGCAGTGGAGCTACTACTACTCCCAGCCAAGGTCACCGCATTGCGGGCGGTTAGAACCGCTCGAATTTTCACAAAGGCCGCATTCAAATCGAGCTTCTCATCGGACCAATCGATCGCCCGCGCCTCCTGCTCGGCGGCCAGCGTTTGGAACTGCAGCTGCAACTGTTGTTGCTGCCCGGCTGCAACAGCGGCCGCTGCTGCTGCTGCATCGCCTCCGCCTCCGCTTCCGGTGCCACTCCCACTTCCACTGCCCGGCAGTGATGACGCCCCCAAGGTCGCTGGCAGAAGTTGAAAGTGACTCACCCGCTTGTGATTGTCCGGCAGATTTAGATAGCACTCGTTGTCGAATCGGAACTGCGACTGTTTTTTTCACAGTGTTGTGGGTATACATTTTTTTGTTTTGATTTCGGTGTGTGGTGCATTTATGTATTTTTTTTGTAGCAGTGCATCGGACAGGAAGTTTTGAAAAACACGGAAAGAGAGAGAAAAAGAGCAAAAAAAAAAGGAAAATATATATATAAATATATATGTAATAAATATATATAAACAAATGACGTTTTTATGTACAGACGAGGACATTTTTGCTGCTGCATTTCGGCTGTGCAAAAGTGGTGCAGTGGTGCGTGCGCTTGACCCTCGCTGCCGATGGGTGGGTGGTCTGGTGGTGGGGTCACCAGGTCACAGGGTCACCGGGTCACCATTGCAACCACCCACCGGAAAACCTTACGGCCATCCTACAGCCCACTTACCTTGTAGCCGGGACCCAGGCGGTGCATCGCACAGATCTGCTGCGTGGTCAGCGCCTCGCTGAAAAGGTAGATAGCCGACATTTGGCCACAGAACACTCGCTCCTCGTCCAGTTCGGGGGTGGCTCCAATGTAGCACTTGTCAAAGGGCTAAAAAAGGGTTGGTAAATCGATTAAAATGGGCCCATGCCATCTATAAACAGTGCAAAACGCATCAGAAACTAAACTCATACCGAAAATCATAAAAATCATAAATTCATAATCATAAAAACTAAACTACATTATTTCTAAACTATTGAGTTTCAAAAATATCTTAATAAAACTTCCTAAAGTATTAAAATTAAACTTTGAGTATGGAATTATACATAGAAAATATAAACTTTAAATTATTTAGTGTAACTACATATTACAGAGTTTATATTATTTGTTGTTATATCAATTGTAAATTATAGAACAATTTTAATACAACTAGTTTTAAGAGTTATGTATAAATTCAAAGTTAAAAAAAAAACAAATTAAAAATATGTACACCACAAATTAAATAAGCGAAAATGTTAAAATTCCTCTATTATCAATATCCTTATCTACTATTTAAATATAATTCCATATTAAACAATCTGAATAATACAGTTGCATTTTTCCGATACCGAACTTAATAATAATAAAATATTCTTAGTATAAACGGATGCCTCCTTATTACAAAACAAAGCACAATAAAACTCGACACGTTTAATAAATATTTATTGAAATGCCATCCTATTGAGATGTACATCGGTACTCACATCGTTTGTGGAAACAAACCAGGCCATCTCAGTTGAAGAGGCCAGCTGTCCATTAACGAGGCACTTGATTTCGCTTTTCGTCCAACGATTGTATATATACACTATGGCAATCATATACCACTGAAACCGAAACAGAAACAGAAACGGAGACCCAGTCAAGGCAAATTCATGTGGAGAGATGAGAGCTGTGGGGATTTATCTCTTACCTTTCGTGGCTGGAATTCGTATTTGACACAATGCTGAAAGCCCTTGCCCTTGACCTTCATCGAGGTGAGGACAAGGCAATTGCCCACAAAATGCGCCGTATAGCCCACACCCTTCGATGTCTTGAAGCTGTGAATATAAGAAGGGGATTTTGGTTGAGAATATGATAATAATATAATGTAAGAAAAATATATAAATAATCTCGTATGTATATTATAATATTTATTAAACATAAATAAAATAAAATTGATATAAATGAAATATGTATATATTTTTAAGGGATTTTTAAGCCTAGCTTAGTACTCACCAGTAGAGATAGGGCTTCTCCCGCTCGATATTCACCGAGTTGATAGGATCCAGCCGGAACCAGGTGGTGAAGGTGAATCCGTTCTCATAGGGCCATTTGGCCAACGGCGGCAGGACCATGGCCTATAAAAGAGAAACCCAAAAACCGATTAGCATCCATTTAAATTTGACCAGCAATTCTATGCTAAATATCAATTACGGACAGTTTGGCACTCGATAGCTTGGGCACTTAACATTAATAAGCCGCATAATTGACTTTGCATATATAGACACAAAACAACTCTCGAAATCCCCCCGAAAGGCTTCAAATTCCCGAAACCCGAAAGCGAAGTTGTGTATAAATCACAGAGGGAAATACTTTTGACTGGTTAGGAAACTTGTGGCACATTCCACTCCAGAACACAAACTACACACGAATGTATTTCCTGTGGCAACCTCAACTCAAAGCCATGCCAGCATTCAGAATCCAGAAACCAGAGACCAGAAATGCAAAAGGAACGGAAAGGCAGATGGAGTGGAGAATTCAACAGAAGAAGCCGCAAAACAGAAATGAACTGAAATTAAAAGGAAATGAGCACATTTGATTTATCATCAATGTTGTGGCTTTACGGCTGGTCAACGATGTTTGCAAGAGCAAAAGAAAAAGTCAAATTCAAGCAACTATTTACTGTTCTAGGTGAAATTCGAAATTCTGCTGGCAGTTCATAAATTTAATTCTGCCTTCTGCTCTGTCGTCTGTCCAAATAATCGTTTAGAAAATACCATTGCATTAGTTCTTTGCAGAAATTCCATTTGACATTATCCGCTTGAGGCATCAGTTGGGTAAATTCATCTCCAATCTGATAATAGATATTTATGCATTTGATGGCCAAGTCACCAGAGTTTGTCACTCATTGTTTTCCCTTTGAGATGACAATCTCTTGCTATTTATTTAGTAGACCTATGATGGCTTTAAATAATTGACTTGATTGCAGGGCACTAATATTTGATTATAAAATTGGAATTATTTGATTGATTTTAGTTAACCATTACACTCTAGTTGAATATCGATTTGTAGAAGAAAATTTTCAAATCGGATCATTCGATAAAAAGTTATGAGCAACTTACTATTATTATTTTCATTATGGGCTTAATTTGGTAATTATATATTTTAAATATCAATTTATGTACTTAGTTTATTGCTTTAAATATTTGAATTTATTTTCTGAACATAGAATTTTACTTAATATATCTTAATCCCAGGCTTTTCCTGCTTTCGCAATAAATCACACACATAAATTCCGTCCAACTCACCATTTAAATAATATTTAAATGGTGCGACCCCAGTATTTGACTCATTGATTGTTTATGATTTATTTTACGTATTTATTCGTTGAGTTATTAAATCACTTGCTTGCTCTTGAACTCTGTGCAACTATTTAGCCCTCTTACGAAGATCAAATTTCATTTACTTTGCACTTATCCAGTGGTCTCGTCCCTTCGAGTGGGAAGTTGCGACATGGAGACCACTTTTTGGGGGCCCAGAAGAGACCAATGGGGCTAAATGGGTTAAGGCCAGGCGGACGTGACAAAGGCTGACACTGTTGTTGGAGTTTTGCTGCGGTTGCAGGCAACTTTGCACCGCACACTCCCACACTCACACACTCCACTTCACATTTTCCCCAATTTTCCCCCATTTCCCGTGACAGTAGTGGGAAAATGCGGATAGCGGGTAGCGGGTAGCAGGAAACTGAAATGGTGCCCTGGTGATTTTGGGTTTTGGCTTTTCCGAAAATCTCATTATTCGAATCGAGTCCCGTCGTCATCCTGTTGCAATCAGCACCATCAATGGCATTAGGCGTGCTTGTGGATCGCAGATCGTTGGGTTAGGAGGGCTGCTTTTCCCACCCCGAATAGCCTGGCTAAACGGAAAATTAAAAAAAGCCAAATGCGTGAAAAGTCGCCACGGTAGAGAGAAAAATAAACCCGCAAATAAGAGGAGAGTGCGCGGTGGATTTAATGTGGATTGGATGGATGGATATGGATAGGTGGGCGATTTTCGTTTGGCTGGGTGGCACCCGTCTATTTATTAGACATTTTGCGACAATTGCGAAACGCCATCCATGCGATGCTCACATTTGACTTGCAATTCACTTTATGGCATTTTTTATGTGTTTATGGGACGATGGACACATCGATAGAGTGCTCTCCAAATCCCCCATCCCCCTCAAAAAAAATAAAGCAAACAAAACGTGGGAGTGGTCAAGCTCATAGATAAGAAACATACACACACACACACGAGGCTATTCTGGTAAAAACACATTTCGAATTCGTTTTAAGTGCGACGCAATAAAATAAAAGCCCCCGGAAATGTCGAGGCACCCCCGGGGGACCTCATCCTATATCGAAAGTGCCGGCTGTATGGAGCCTTTGTTCCTTTGCCAGATGCAATCAATAAAAAAATTCAGGCGAATTGCATGGCCTCAAAATCGGAAAAAACAAGTAGAGGAAAATATAGTTGGCCAAGCTAAAAACTAAAGATATTAAAAAGTGTAGGTACCTATTGGTTACGATTTGTATTCCAACAAAATAAACTTAATTTCCCTTTAAACTAACTCCTTCAAATCATTGAGAATGGAGCCTGTAAGTAGGCAATACAAATTTTAATTACAGCATACTTTTAAACACTTCTAGAAACCAATTTGAAATCACCAACTATTTTTCGATATTTAATTTGAGTTTTCCCTTCATGAAAATTGTTATTGTTGTTATTGTTAAAATATCGAAAATATCGATAATTTGTGAGCTCTAGTTTTATTTCTGGTTTAAATACGATCCATCTTCACCAATATCTCTATTTTTTAACGAAGTTTAGTATATATAGTTGCTTAATGGGATTTCGATCCCTCATCCATTTTAGTCTACTAGCACTCACCGATCCCTTGCGGCCCGGAAAGCTGAAGAACACATCCGGCCCGTTGCGATGTGGCATCTGCCGGAGGACGTTCAGCAGCTTGGCCGAGTGACGCGGCCACTTGCCATTGGTGGCCTTCATCGTCCCGAAGAGCAGCTTCAGCTCCTTCACCGTTATGCTATAGCTGGCCAGCACGCCCAGCATCTCGATGAGCAGATCTGCAAGTAGAGGTGATGGGAAGAGATGGGAAATGGTTAGTGTCAGCGGCAGAAACACGTTTATGCAATCCACGTCAGGAGTTTGAAGCTCAAAGGACTAAATGGCTGGCTGCCGTTAATTGCACATCAAAATGATGGACATTTATGAGGATTATCTGCCTTGATTTTAATTATGTAAGCTTAATACATGTTTTTCAAATATGTGATGAAAATAATATTTAAATTAAATGTATTTATTTCTTATATCTCTTTTTGGGTTTTATATAACTTTCTTCCTTGAGCTTCAAAAATATCCTCAGCTTGCTAACAATATCGATACTTAAATAAAAAATTAAATTTTTGCCTTTGCTCAATTTTTTTTATAAGGGTTTACATCATGGTTTTTTGCGAAAAATGGTCAAAAAATAAAATGTCCAGGTTTAAATGTCAATCGATTGGAAATTTAATAACGAGTTCAGAAAGGTATGACAATCCATATTTGGATCAATATGTCCATTGTTTCGGTCAAAAGACGAGTTATTTTTTGTGGAAAATTGGGTTCTGGGTTTTTAGTAATTATAGTTATTTTTCATTTATTCAGTTATCTTCCTAGAGCTAAAGTTAACATTAAACTTAAATAGAAAGCACTAGCCGTATCGAAACTGTGAATATATCTAAAATATCGATTATTTTCAAGTTCTATTTTGCCGGCATAAACAAAGTTAGCGATAAACAAAAGCAGATCTGGAATTATTCAAGCTAAATGTGCGGGAAGGCCGGAAATGGTTTGAAGGCCTAAAGGATATGCGCAAAGCCTGCCAAACTCAACTGTGTGTGTGTGTGTGTGCTCGTGGGTGTTTGTGGCAACAATCAAGTTCCCGTTTTAGCTCAGGTGGCAAGTTGCAAATGCAAATGCAAATGCGAAACCGAATGCAAAGTCCTCGCGTTCATCCAAGTGGCAAGGACACGCGCTCTCATAGCGAATGCTAAGAGACAGTGAGGGGCGGGGCGGGGCAGAAAGGGGCTAGGCTGGGGTGGGCGTGGTCGTGGTCGTGGCAAGGCCATCTCAGCTATATTGCATTTGATCTAGCACTGAGAGGCGCGAACGGAATTAGAATTTAAAGCCAGGTCAAAAAGCCTCAAAATAACAGTCATATTTGTTGTTAAAAAAAAGAAGAAGGAAAAGAAAAAATCAAGCTTTAATCCCTTTTTAACCTTCTGACCAAAATTATAATACCCTCCGCATATATAAATATCTCTCTATAAATATCAAAGCAATATTCAATGACTAAATACCAGCTACAAAATATTATTTAAAGCAGCTGCAGGACATTTACTAGCATTCCTTCAAATAACTTTCAAGTTTCAATTGACTTGCAATATAAATTATGAAATTTTAATAGGAAAACTCCCCCGGGGTAAAAGTTTTTGAGCCAAAAACTATTTCCATCATTCATCTATCTATGTCTTCAATGAGCCACGAGGACGATGATGATGATGTCGAAGATGATGCCCTCCCTTTCTCTCTCCCTCTCTCTTTCTATCTCATTCTGTTTCTAGAAGTTATGGCTTTCTCGCTCGCTTTTCGCCATCTCCCTCTTGTGAGGGCTGCATTTTCAATCAAGTTTAGCCAAAAGCTTGGCCAAATAGTTATTAATTCCGGAGTTCAAACTGATTGCCTCCGCTGGCTGAACCTCTTGCCCTCTCTTTCGCCCACCGCCTCCGCCCACTGGCCACGCCCACCTCCCGAGGGGCGGAGTGACGTCGTCTGGTTTTCCACCGACTGCTGCGCTATTCCCAAACTTCATTTGTAATGCACACTAATTGAAATGGGACGCTCGGGCCGTTTTAATGCTTGGACTGTTGGCTCACCTTCGTTCGGCCCTCTCACTCGCTCACATACCTTTCCGTATTTGCCGCCCACCACCCACCGAACACACACACAAGTACTGTTCTGCACCGAAAATATTTAAAACATATTTTTAGGATCAGAGAATATAATTATTATAAAGTTTTGGTAAACATTTTATAGTAAGGTGTAGAAAAATAAATACAAAATGGTTGGTCAATGAATTTAAGATTAATACTGCTTTTAAAATAAATACTAACTTAAAAATTGTTTTATTACCGAACTATGAGATTATGCAACTTTTGAAATATAATTATTGTAGACAAATAAATACAAAAATGGTTTATCAATGAATTTAAAGATTAATACTAATTTAAAAATAAATACAAACTTAAAAATTGTTTGATTACCGAATAATAATCTCATGATTATGCAACTTTTGAACTCCCTTAAGTTTATTAAATATTTTCCAGTGCATGCACACTATTCAGCACGTTTTCGGTTGCGTGAATTAAGGAATCGAGTAACTCTGGCAGGCTGAACCTGCGGGCCACTGGCTGACCCAAGTTATCCAACCTCGAACCTTAAGCCCACTACTGCCCATTCCCCTGCGGCATTCCCAGGACGACAATGTCGCCCAGTTGGTCCCCAGTTGGTATTCAGCCCCCTGGCTTTCCATGGCTTTCCCCACTCTTCCGTATACTTTTTCCCTCCCAAAACGCCACAGCTTCATCAGCATTTAATTACATTTTCCTTGGCATGCCAAAGTTTTTACTGCCCCAACTCATCATCATCATCAGCAGCAGCAGGAGAAAAATCAGCGAGATGAAGGATATATATATATATATATCCTGAGATAAATATGTAAGGAACAGGAGAGGGAGAAAGAAGTGAGAGCGTTTAACGCAACAATTTCTCTTATCAAATTTTTGCGATTGCATTGCCGAGTTTTTAAGCACTTTAAGTTGGAACTCGGGAAAGTGGGGATACAGATACAGATACGGATACCCACTCATACGCAGACACTCATACTCGTATGCTACTTCTATGGAATCCAAGAATTTGCCACTCTAAGCTGAACTTTGCCCGAGACAACGAACTTTTAACTTATCTAATTTCTTGGCAAGTGTCACGTTTTGGCATTTGTCAGGTGACACACACACACATATGTATAGTTAGTGGGGAGGTGAAGAGGGGAATGGAAGAGACAAACCTAATACACTGTACAAAAAAAAGGAAACTATTATTAAACAGAATAAAAAGTGATAAATAAATACCTTGAAACAAAAGAGGACGCCACAAAAATCACTAGAATTGTTTTAAATATCTCTTTAAGTTGTCTAAAAGTATGCTGCAATATATTTCATCTAAAATATTAATTTCTCTGCACACTCTTGGGATGCTTTAGAAGCGATTTCAAAACCCTAATAATTTTTGCGTCATATTTTATCCAAATAATAATCTTAAAGTCTTCTTTGGAATTATAATGAAGCTAATTTTAGTTGACAAATTATTTCCCTTAGTGTACGTATGAAATTATGTCTTTGTTTGCGGCCTTTCTCCCCTTTCTCTGCTCTCTCCTTTCTCCGGGCTCCAAGCACACACACACACACACATGGAGCTCAAAAGTCAGCGACTACAAATTGACAGCAGTTACAGTTCGTTAAATGCGGAATGAAGAAGCAGGGAGCTTGGGTGGGTGGTGCAAAAAGATATATGAATGGGGGTGGGATGGGGGAGGGTGGTTAGTGGTGGGGTGCTGGGATTTCGTGGAGACCGCAGATGTGTCATTGACTTAATAAAATCAAAATCAAAGCCAAAGGCACGCACATGCTTAAGGCATCATGTGTGTGCGTTTGTGAGTGCGGCGGTGGTGGTGGTGGTGGAGGGGTGGGGCAGTGGGTGGTGCAGGAGGCGGTGGGTGGCTCAGTGGGCGGTTCCAGCGAGGGTCGCTAATGAAGAGCAAATTTGCTGCCGAGCTGCGCCATTCCATCCAATTCACTACCCTATTTCGCCCCGGCTTTTCACTGTGTGCTCCACTGGTGGGTGGTTTTTGGGTGGCTCGGTGGTTTTCCAGGGGCGTGGAATGGGGGACGCAACTGGGCGTGTCAGTGCTGCTGACAAGCGTGAAATTAATCGAGAGGCAATTCAGCGGACCAGACCAAACGCAAAACCAAAAACCAAAGCCAACTTGGGATCTATTCAGAGCAGTCAAACAATGGCCGAAAAGTGTAAACTCTATTGTTCTGCGCAAACGAAAATCCTGTAAGAAATGTCCAGCCTAAAATTTTGATTAAGCACCGAGTGAAAATATTAAAAGGCCACTCGGTAAATAAACTTGCGTGTTTTGAATGTGTAATCATTAAAGCTGAGAAATAGTTGCTATCGGCTTTACTTGTTTTTAAAAATGCAGAAAATAAATGGTTGATAAATCTTATATCTTAAAATAAAAATCACCGCATTCCTAATAATTTATTTTGGTTGAATATATACTCGTATTTACATGATTCTTCGGACTTTTATTTTTTGTTGCATAGTTTTAGAGACCTTAATAATAATTTCTAAGCCACCCTCAAAAGTAAATGGTTGATAAATGTTAAATCAAAATTCGCCGCTTTCCTGATAATTAAGTTTGGTTTATTAAATCTATTGGGTGTGCGTCTAAAAGTATGCAGTGAAAAGAGAACATGATTCTTAGGACCAAACATATTTTATTGCATACTTTTAGACACCTTTATAAGTGTTTTAAAAATCTCCTAGTTAATTCTAAGCCACCCTCGAATATGTAATTATTTTCTAGGGTTTTCCCAAGATTTTCTCACCTGCCACAACCGTTTCGGAGCGCTGCAGGCGGACGAGGACATGCTCGATGAGGCCGACATCGGTGCAGGCCTGCAGGTTGCGGACGCTTTTGCGCAGGATGGCAATGAATACGCTCCAAATCTCCGCCTGCAATTGGAAAGCAAACAAAAGAAATGTTTATTTTAAATGGCTATCAACAAATATAGAGATAAAGATTTTCTTCTTCAAGGAAAAGGCAATAGAAGGACGAAGAGGAGATCTCGAGAGAAAAAGTGTATGGTGAAATCAAAGTATCTTTTCCCCAGCTCAATAAGCCAAAGTAAAGTGGCCCACACAGATACGCACACTCACATACACACATACACATATTCAGGGCAAACAAAGGCAGGAAGTGGAGGAAAAAGACCAAAATAAGCAGCTCACGCGCTCGAAAGTATGAAGCACTTATCTGCTGATTCCTCTCTCTTCCTTCGCTCAAGTGTGTGTTTGAGTGTGTGTGCGAGTGTGTGTGTGTGCCTAATGTAAACAGTCATTGAAATAAAGTAAAATAATGGAAAGTAATGGCAAAATAATCGCAAGCCAAGACCGAGTTTGCCTCCTCGAATTTCGTTTTTCCTTTCAGCATTATTGCCTCAATTCTCGAGAACAAAAACAAAGCGTTTGACGGTTTTTTATGATTATTGCATTTGGCACACACACAAACACTCGCACAAGCACACACACACACACACAGATACGGCCGAACAGATACATTCGCAGAGAAGATTGCACATTGATTGGCAATTGCAGAGAAAGCATTGCGAATATCGCTCTGAATATATATTTTGGTATTTCAGTTATTTCTCCCATTTTCACAATTTCGATATAAAAAAAATAAAAAAAATATATATATATATTGTCAGGCATCTCGTGTGACTAAATTTATAAATAAATAAAAGAGATTGTGGCCTTAATAACTTATTTAAATGTTGCTAAGCGGTATAATTTAATTTCATAAATTTGTAATGTAGTAAAGTCAGAATTTTGTAGAAAATTGTTAATAATAAAATAATAACAAATTAAGGATTTAATAAATTCATCCCGTTTTTGCACCTAAAACGGCGTTTTAAAAAATCGTATTTTCTCTGTGTATGGTTATCAGTTTTTAGGTTCGTTTTCCACTTCATTTACCGCTGCCTGTATTTTTCATGTCCTTCAGCTACGTTTCCTGTTTTTGTTTTTTTACTGTACTGAACACGCATAATGTAATTTGCCGATTTATAAATTACTCACAAAAGCTCGAATTTCCACAACATTTTCCTACGGGGCCCGGAGATTCACCAGGAATTTTGTAAAGCGTCTTTTGCATTTACAAAAGGTAGTTAAATTACAAAACTCACTGCTGTACACGCTGTGTACTTTTGTGTAAAATCAGAAATACTCTTTCTGCATTTCAGTAAGCTGCACCACAGGGCACTTATTATAACCCAGGGTCCTTTTGTTCGTTTGCCAGCATTTTCCGCTTTGCCCAGCGTTCCCTGCTGGCTCTCTTTGCCCTTTGATTTTGGCCCTGATTTTCCTGATTTCTCTCTGTTTTTCTGTTGGCCAAAAAACGACAGTTTGTTGGCCAAAACTCATTTATTGCTGTTTGTTTAGCAATCGATATGAAGTTCTCCAGAGCCTTAATTTCGGTAATACATTCTAAGACTTTTAACTAGTTAATTTAAATTACATAAATACTACTACAAGTAATTATTTTCTCCTTATTATAAAATACCTTTATACATTTCGAATATTTCATTTCTGGTGCAAACAATCAAGCCGAGTAAGCCCACTTAATAATTAAAATCTTTACATATTTTGTTTATTTTCTTTAGAGGTCTTAAATTAGCCTATTCAGTATTTGCCTTTTGTATTTCTTGTTTATTTATTTTCTTTGTATCTTGGCACATTTAATGTTTTGCCGCTGGCGAGATGGGAAAACAAAACAAAAGTTGATTTGACGCCGTTGCGTTTTGTTTTTGCAGCATTATTTCTTAATAAGCGCCAAGCGGGATTTTCCAGCAGGTTCCCCGCGAATTTTCCGCCTCCCGTCATGGACTTTTCTCGTTGTTTTTTTTTGTTCTTTTTTATCCCCTACCAAATCTCCTCGAACAATTTGCTCCCCATTGAGGAGAGATGGGAAGAGAGGAAAAGATAAAGAAAAAATTAAATAATAAGAGTAGAAACTTCAGTCAGATTTTATTACGTAATTGGGTAGCAATTTCTTCATGGCCCAGCAACAACAACAAGAACAACAGGACCCAGAGTTGCCACAGCCACTGAGCACAAATTAAATTTGGTCTTTTCTACGCCACCCCCCTCAGCCGCCTTGTCATTTTTTTTATCTGTCTCTCCTCCATCATTTTCCACGGACAACCCCCCTTAAGTATGCTACAGAAATGCGGCTGCTTCTTTGAGCCGAGATTTTCCGACTTTTCGTTTTTTTTTTTTTGTGTTTTACTGCGGAACTCAGTCGAGCATTTTCATCTGCTTGTTGCTCGCTTTTCCGTCTCCGTCTCTCGTTTTTCCTTGGCCAGGTTAAATTGAGCATCGCTTGTCCAGCGTGGCCGGTCAAAGGCCAAATGGAAGAAAATTAAAAATTAAGTGCAAAGTTTGCCAAGATTTTGTGTTGTGGCCCCACAATCCTCGCCGAAATAGGCAAAATACCTATAAAAGCCGCCCGCCAGAACAAGATAAAATTTATGCAATGGCTAAAGTTTAATTGCCCACGCGTTCGGAGCCATTTCAGTCGACAGGCAGAAAAATAATATCACATATAATGACATTGCCTAAATTGGTAAAAGAAATAACATTCAATAAATAATAATTTACACATTTTTCTATGACAAGTTTTACTGATAGAACAAAAATTTTCTATGACAAGTTTTACTGATAGAACAAAAAAGGTGTTACTATTAACGTATTTAATTTTGTTTTCTTTATCTGAACCTTTCACCATTTTAAAAATCTGACTTTTCATTAAAAAGTTATGGGCAAATGATGGAGAGGTTAGTTTTCACGTGTGCAAGCAGTCGCTTCTCTTTTAATATAAAAATAACTTTATAGCTTGAAGGTTTTTTTTATACTAAAACCCAGCTTAAAATCTTTTCTTTTAAAAATCTGTAATAATAAATATGAGTAACCAATGTTTTCCTTGGTTTACTTTTTTTTTTGTATTTTTACACCCAAATCAATCACATTTATTGCACATTTTCTCGCTGTGCACAGTATCATGCAATTTATTTGCAATTTTCTACAGTTGAATCTCCTCTTTCCACATGGAGACAATTTTCTTCTGCACTTTACTTTTTGTTTTGCACTCATTTTCCACTTTATCAGCGATTTGTGTGGGTCGCTGTCCCTGTCTCCTTCTCTTTCTCTGTCTTTTGGTCCTTGGTCCTTGGCGCAGTCAAATCGTTTCGTTTCAATAGAATTTCAATAAATTTATCAACGTGTCTTGGCCCCTTCTCCTTTTCCTTCTCCTCAGCCGCCTGCCTACTTTTCTCCATCATGATGCCATGGATCGAGATCCATTCTCCACTTTTCCCCCAAAGCACTTCGCCCCAACCTCCCAACCCCCGATGATTTTCCATTTTCCATTTGCATCCACACCGTCTGGTTGAGCGTCTGCGATTTTTCCTTTTGGCCCGTCGAGCAGAAACGGGCAATCGGTCGTATACTTTATCAGGCGACAGCGCATCGTTTGCATGCCTGCAGTGCGAGTTTTTCCTTAGCCCCCCTGCTTTTCCACCCCACCTTTCCCCGAACCTGACGCTTCGTTACCCCTATTCAATTTCAACACCCGCCCGTCTCTATCTTTATGTCATCTTTTTAGTGCCGAGCTGCAATCTCCTTCCTTTTCCTCAATCTCCTTCTTGTCTTGGCCAATGCGCTTATGTGCTTCCTTCCTGTTCCTGACTTTTCCTACTTTTCCTCCCTCCGCCCCCCCTAGATTTTCACCCAAAACGTGCCGCCCGGCGAGCCAACTGGTTTTCCCCTTTTTGCAAATCTGCTGCGGCTCTAACGGAAATTTATTATTGACAGCATCTGCCGCTGCAATGCAAAAACAACTGCGCAAGAAGGAAGGTTTGCGCTAGCTGTAGGAAAATGGGAAAATGGGGGTATATCAAGGAAAAGCGAAGGCATATAGCACACAGCACACAGCACATAGCACATATACGCACATGCAAAATGCCAGAGTCGGCAATTTTGCAGACTAAGTAGCGTGTGCCTTCTTCATCTCGGCAATGTCTGCTGGCTGAATGACTGAATGGCTGAATGACTGACTGAATGGCAAAGACACTGACTGAAATTGACGTTGTGCCACGGCTGATGTGCATAACATTGACACAAAGTGCAGTCCTGCAGCCAAAGGGGAAAGGGGGAAAACTCCGGGAAACTGCTCCTTCGATTCTGGTGAGTCATCAAAGCGAGACAGGCGAACAAAGTGGCGGCATTAGAATGGCCAGCGAAAATCGTAGGGATAGCGAAAAGTAACAAAACATACATTAAACTAATAAAAAAATATTAAAAAATACTAACTAAACTCAAAAACACCACCATATTATCAACTACAGAGAAAACAACTTTGATATGAAATAGGTCATTCTACATTTTTTTTCTACATCATTTCATGCCAATAAGAACCCCATATGATGTATTCAAATTTATGGTTTAAACACATAAACTTAATATTTTATCCTAACAGTTATATCATAAAAATGATAAAACATACTATTTTAAAATACCAAATGTAGTATTTTTTGAACAAATAATGTCATATCAAAATGATGTGCATAACCTAATCTTTAAAAATATTAAATTGAAATGCACATATCAATCTGATCTTTTGTAAATTTTGTTTCTGTGTATAATTTATTATTGAATTGCAAATGCTTAGCAAAATCAAAACCAATTTGGCATTGCAAGTGAGAATCAAATTGGCAAATAGTTTCACATTAGCCAATCAAATTTAATGCTCCCAACATGACATACATAAGTAGGATGTCAATTTATAAAATTCAAACATGCAAGAGATTCAAACAAAACGGACTGACAGTTATCACTGTTTTCCACCCATGAATTATTCAATGCGCCTGAAAAGTGCTGGCAAATCGCTAGCGACA